GCGGAGGGAGGGGGAGGGAGAGGGGGGAAGGGAGGAGGAGAGAGTGAAGGGGAAGGTGGGGGAGAGCGACACAGGGAGGGAGGGGTAGAGAGAGGGGGGGATGGAAGGGGAGAGGGATGGGGGGAGGGAGGGGGAGAGAGAGGGGGGGATGGAAGGGGAGAGGGACGCGGGGAGGGTCAGCCTCTCTCAACAAGAACACAGTCCAAGCCTCGCGGCCCCACAACCTCCCTCTCTCACTCCCTCTCTCACTCCCTCACTCACTCCCTCACTCACTCCCTCACACACCGTCTCTCAGGCCTGTCAGGCCTCTTCCGCAGCAACTCGTCTTCAGATTACGAGGCAGCAACAGCAGCAGCCGGCATTACCAAATTCGGCGACAGCAGCAGCAGCAGCATCAGCAGTGGCAGGCGAGCAGTCACTCCTGGAAGGAGGTCAAGAGACGGAAGCGTGGTGGAGTCGACTCAAAAGTCAGTGCAGCACTCTCGAGAAGGAAGCGTGGGATCGAGCCACCAGTCCCCGGCGGTCACACCGGGAAGAAGGTCGCAGGAAGGGAGTCGGCAGAAGCAGCGACGGGCTAAAAGAGCCTCCGATTCACCTGCTGCTGCTTCCACAGCTGCTTCTGCTTCTTCTGCTGCTGCTGCTTCTGCTTCAGGACTCACTCCTCCCACGCCAGCCCTCTCCTCCTCCTCGCTCCCAGGCAGTGTGGGCCCGTCCACGCCCACCACCCCTCCCACAGCACCTTGGTCCGGGTTTGACGCCAGGTCTGGGCGAGCGCGGCCGAGCTTTGAAGCGCCGCAGAGCAAGGCGAGGCGAGGCGTTACAGGATCACACACCCCTGGCAGAGACGCAGGAGCAGCAGCAGGAGCAGCAGCAGGAGCCGCAGGAACAGCAGGAGCAGGAGCAGCAGCAGCTGGGGCCGGGTCAGCCATGCCGACAGGCAAGCCCCTGGCAGGGCTGCATATTCTAGTGGTGGAGGATACAGCAGTGCTTCAGAAGCTAGCAGCGTCTATGCTGAGGAAGATGGGTGCCCGTGTGGCCGTGGCGTCGGATGGCCAGCAGGCTGTTGCTGCCGTGCTTAGCTCCTGGGCGGATGACGATCGAAGTGCAGGTGCTGCTGCTGCTGCTGCTGCTGCTGCTGCTGGTGCGGCTGGTGGTGGTGGTGGTGGTGCTGCTGGTGGTGATTCTGCTGGTGCTGGTGGTGGTACTGCTGCTAGTATTGCGGGTGTTAGTGGGAGCAGTGGCATTGGCAGCAGGAGGAAGAGTTTCAGCATGGCGCGAGAAGCGATTCTGGCCGGCTCACCTGCAGCAGCAACAGAAGCAGCTGCAACAGCAGCAGGGCAGGAAGGGAAGCTAGAAAGGGCACGCAGCAGCAGCCCAGCTCCCAGATCAGGCAACTCAAGCAATATGAGCACCACAGGGGCAGGCCATACAGGCACTGTGGGCAGCACAGGCAAAGCAGACAGCCCACGCACACCCAGCAGCACCGTGAGGTCTCTCTTCTCCTCTGCTGGCTCCTCCCTCCACGATGGCTCTGGCCTTCACGCTGCCGCTGCCTCTCCCTCAGATGCCCTTCCCTCTGCCTCTGCCGTTTCCTCTGCCGCCCCCTCGCCCTCCACGGGTTCCTTTCGCTGGAAGCCTCGCCGTGGCAGCAGTGGCACTGTCTCCTTCCTCCTCTCCGCCCTCCCTTCCGCCTCCCCTCTCTCTTCCACCCCTCTGGCCTCATCTCTCTCGTCTAGCCCTCCTGTGGTAACAGCAGGGGGAGGGGGAGGAGGAGGAGCAGCAGCAAGTGAAGCAGGAGGAGGAAGGGGAGGAGGGGTTGTTGGGGAAGGGTGTGAGGCAGCAGGAGTGCAGCAGAGTCAGATCACTGAGCCCCTTGAAGCACAGCACGCAGTGGGGGGAGAGGAAAGGCCGAGATCATCATTTTCCAACCCGTTTGACCCATCAGGGGCAGCTGTAGCAACATCAGCTGTAGCAGCGAATAATGGCAGCAACGCAGTGGCTACAGCTGGGGCGGATGGGTCTAAGGGCGGTGTGATGAATGGAGGAGGGGATGCAGCAGCAGCAACAGCAGCAGCAACAGCAGCAGCAACAGCAGCAGCAACAGCAGCAGCAGATCCGTTTGACATTGTGCTCATGGACTGCCAGGTACTCGTGGTTGGAGGTTTGGGATGGCAGGTACTTGAGGTTGGAGGTTTGGGATGGCAGGTACTTGGGGTTGGAGGTTTGGGGATGGCAGGTACTTGGGGTTGGAGGTTTGGGGATGGCAGGTGCTTGAGGTTTGAGGCTCGGGGATGGCAGGTACTTGAGGTTTGAGGGTTGGGGCTGGCAAGTAGGCACTTGAGGTTTGAGGGTTGATGTTTGTGCTTCCCCGTTGCCTCCTGCCTGTCCGCCTGTGCAGATGCCAGTGATGGATGGGTACACGGCCACGAGGACCACGCCTAAAGCGCCGCCCCAGGGCACCGCTGGGAGGAGCACACATCAGTATGTCCTCTCCTCCCTCCCCCCCCTCCCTCCTGCCTGTCCGCCTGTGCAGATGCCAGTGATGGATGGGTACACTGCCACGAGGACCATGCGCGCCCCAATGCCTCTCTAGCCTCATCCGCCTCTCCTCCCTCCTGCCTGCCCGCCCATGCAGATGCCAGTGATGGATGGGTACACGGCCACGAGGACCATTCGTGCAGCAGAGTGGGGCACGGGGCGTCACACTGTCATCTGTGCGCTCACTGCTCATGCACTCGCCAGGTGAGGGGATGGCAGTTGCTCTGCAAAATGCTCTGCACCACTTCGCACTGCTTTGCATTGCACACTGTCATCTGTGCTCTCACTGCTCATGCACTCGCCAGGTGGGGGAGGGAGCGCCATGTATCATCTCGTTTTGCCTCTCCCTCTCTTGCCAACCTCTCTTTGCCGCCCTCGCTTTACCATCTTGTCTTTCATGCAGTGACGAGGCCAAGTGCAGGCAGGCAGGGATGGATGGGTACCTCACCAAGCCAATCAACATACGGTGAGTACGAAGGGGAAGTTCATGCAGATTATCCATGTTAACAGCCTCATGCAATCTCCATCTGTGGCTGTGCTCCTGAGTTGCACAGCTTGCTCGTTTTCCAAGCTCCTAAAAAGTCATCTCCCTGTGACCTGGACTCTCCGTGCCTGTCTCTGCTTCTGACTTGCACAGGTTGCTGGTGGACACTGTTCAGCGGCTGGTCAGCAGCAACAGGAGGGCAGCAAGGCGGAGCCTGAGTAATCTTGGCATGACTGCCACTGCCAGCGGCACTGCCTCAGCCAACCAAGGCAGCTTCAGCAGCGCTTCCAGTAACAGCCCATACACCAGCCCTTTAGGTTCAACTGCTAGTACCGGTACTACCCGCCCTAGCACAGGCATACGAACATCGTTCTCATACACATTGGGGGCAGATGGTAAGGGAGGACATTGAATATTACAGGCTGGACAGTTCAGCTTTGTTTAGGCTACCATAAGTAGCTTCTTGTACAGGCTTCAATGGTGCAGTCTATGAGTTGTAGGTGAAAAAGCTGGCGTTTCCAACATGTGTGGGGTTCTGCTGCGGAAAGACACAGGTGTTAGGTAGTAAAACAATACCCTTAAACGTCAAAAGACAACTGTACTGTATAATGAGCTACAACAGTTGTAAATGACCTTCCTGCTTCATTCACCAGGAATTGAAACCCCCTGCTTGAGCCGTTCTCGCTTCAGCTTCCTCTGTGAAACGGCTTTCTTCTTCTTAGGTGGCAGGACGCTCTGTGCGTAGAAGTACATGGCTGCATGACCGACGAGGAAGAGAACGAAGAAGCCCACCACGACCAGGATGACCAGCAGCGTCGGATTGAAGCCTGAATCAGGTGGCGTTTGACCCTGTGGGAGAAAACGACGACGTTTGGGAAAGAAATGAAAGAAAATGGAGGAATAGGTGGAGAATCAGGATCAGGGAGGAAAACGGCACATGAACATGGAAATGAGGCAATTCCAAGGCTGTTGAGCTAGCAAGCTTTAAGAAGTAAGATAGTTAAATGTCAGCACCTAATCTAGCGTAATACGAGATCCACAAGCGAAATGACAATGACTGGTTTATTACACGAAACTTCAGGTTTTTACCGGTCAAGGACAATGTAGCAGGTACACAAAAATCTGTGATCACGTTCACTCCATTCGGTTTTCCTAAATTCCGTAAAAAAACTACAAAAAGTACACGAGACATTACCTCTCCTGGGCCCGCCATGACGAGGTGTTCTCAGCAAAGATCCTCCTTAGCAATTATCACAGGAAGAACCGGCAGGAAAGGCACTGTTCTAGAAAGCTATAATGAAAGGACGAGTAGGATCTGCGAATCTGTGCTTGCGAACTAAAATCTAGGTTTGACGGAAATGTGTGTCTTGGTCAGAGTGACTGGGAGACCCTGGTGGGGTGGTTGAAGAGATGCTGGATTCTTGGTTGTGGAGGAAGCCTGGAGAAAGTATACTATGGGATGTGATTATAATCGGAGAGGTTGTCAGATTGGAGGAACAGTGACCGTTGGTTCCGTTCGTCCCCTTCCAGCATTGAGGAGATCGACGACTGCCAAGGTGGAGGTGGTGCGGTGTTCGTGTTTCGGAAAAAAACTTGGCGCCAGAATTGTTGCAGAACTCACCGATTGGCTCGCCAGTTCACATTTCAGTAACACTGTATTGTGTACAAAAGCGCTGACACATTTCCCCTACATGTTTTACGATGAAAATAATGTCAGTGCTGTAACGCGGATTTCCACTCCAGAGAATTCGGCCAAGCCCAGTGCCTGCCAAGCCAACCTCGGTTTCTGATGAATTCTTCCTTTTCCTTGCTTCAGCGTTTCAAGTTCCTTCCTAGACCTATCCAACCGCTTCAAAGAAAAAACGACCGCTTTGTTTAGTGAATTTGAGTCGCATGGCTGAATGAATTGTGTGTTTCGAGAGGAGCAGCCAGTGCAGTCAGTATCGGAACATGCTACAGCCACCATGTCATGGCGTCCATGCTCGGCTCACGTTCGGTCTCTTCCGAGAAAGCACAGTTCTCGCTCTTGGCTTTCCGGTAAACAGATTGACGGTGCGAGGTTTATCTATACCGGACAGTCTTTCTTTCTTGCCGGCGCCGGCAGACAGCCTCCACGTGTAGACGGCGATGGGGTAACCAGGTGCTCCTGGCGCGTTGTAGTTTTTGCGAGTTCGCTTGAGCGGCGTAGGCGACAGAAAGGCGACAGTTCGAGTGGTAGTAACCAGCTCGGCGAAGACATCAAGGCGAAAAGCGAATCTGGAAGGACCAGACGAGCTTCGCGAAAGTATGTAGACGTCAGTCTCTGTCGCTTTTTGCGTCGCCAAAGACATTTATTCCATGGCATTCAACCCTTGGCGATTGCGCTTATCCATTTGCACTCATCCCGTCGTTCTTTTCGCTGTTCTGCGCACAGGAATCTATTGCGGAAGTCTTGGGAAAGGAGCGCACGAGCAGGAGAAAGAGACGAGGGATTGAAACGTTTGACTGCTTCAAAAGAGAAACTAGAGGGAGTGGAGAGGGACGAGAAGGACGAAGAGGGGGAGGAGGGCAAGGAGGGAGGCGAGAGGGACTCGAAGAAGCAGCGTGCTGCCGACCAATACGCACACAGCCAGTCCATGCCTCGGAAGCAGCATGATTGGATGTTTTCTGTTGGATCCCCTAACGGTACTCCCTTTTCACCCCCCAAAAAAAGGAATGAAATGAAAAGAAAGGAAGTGAAAAGAACAGACTGACCTTCCCCCCACTTTCAGTTGCTCATCGAACCCTGTTTCACGCTTCTGTTGGTTCTCACCGTCGTTTCTTACCCTCCTCTCTTCAACGCTTCCTCCGTGCCTCTCCATTCCACCCTTCCCTCCCATGCGCAGTCTCTTCCCCCAGCAGCAGCAGCAGCAGTCTCAATCGCCCACCTCCCGCACAGCTGACACTTGCTGTGGCCGCTGCTGCTGCTGCTGCTGTCGCCGCTGCTCTCCTGCTGCTGGACTCTCGGTTCTCCCAGACAGCACTTGAGCGTGCAGGGAAGCGTGCCGAGGGGTGTGCAGAAGAGCGTGATGAGGAGCCTGCAGAGGAGGCAGGCGAGCGTACAGGGAAGCGTGCAGACACACAAGAAGGCACATTACAGGGGAGAGAGGGGACGGGGGGAGATGCTGCAAGAGTTTTTGCAGGGGGGTTTGCTGGGGGTGTTGCAGGGGATGTTGCAGGGGATGTTGCTCGGGATGGGGGGATAGCAGGGGGCATGGGAGAGGGTCGCATAGGCAAGGAACCTGACGGAGGGAGCGCGGAAGCGAGATCAGGGGAGACGAAGGAGGGCCCGGAAACTTATACAGTCGGTGTAGAGCCAGTTGGGGAGAGTGGTGGGGAGAGCGTTGGGGGTGAGAATGAGCTGGAGGGTTTAACTGGAAGGGGGAGCGATGAGCTGGGCACAGAAGGTAGTGCTGAGGAGATGCAGGGGAGTCAAACCGATGGGAGCGACAGGAGTGAGAGAGAGTGGCTTGGACCAGCTGTGGCTGGAGGGGCGGAGAGCAAGGGGCAGGTGGGGGGGCGGCAGGGGGAAGGGGAAAGGAGGGGAGGGGCGGAGGGACGAGGCGAGAGTGGGGTTGGGGGAGAAGAGGATGCAGAGGATGGGCGTGGGGGTGCGAGGCAGAGAGGCAGTGGTGACGGGGATGAGAGAAGGGATGAGGGGGAGGGTGAGGGGAGGGATACGGGAGACCTACCAGGAGACTCGGACGAAGATGAATGCCTCAAGTTGCTGCAAGGTAGCTTGAGGAAACTTGCAACAAACTTGAAGTTGCTGGAAAAAGAAACATGCTTGTGTCACTGTCCATTATCCACTGTCATCCGTGTCTTTCCGGTTTCGTTTCTGTGGATGATGAAGTGGGTGGGTGTAGTGACAGGGCGATTTCCCTCTTGTCCTTCTCGTCCCTATCGCCCAGCACCTACTTGCTTTCTTTCTTTCAACACGCACGCGCAGTACGTACGCACTATTCATGATTGCAATCGTATGACGCATTGCTTTCTTCTGGCGCCATTTCATTTCCCCTAGCCTCGCCCAACAGCTCAAGCCATTAGCGAGTGTGCTGCAGGTAAGACAGTGTTCACATTCATTGGTAAAGGAGGGCTCAATGGTTTGGTACGTACATCAGTGTGTACACGTACAACAGATCAAATCGTTAGCGTTTGATACGCATCCTGTTATTCATACATGTACGCAATCAGACATGCGCTTCATTCTCAATGCACTCATGTGCTCTAGTACTTTCCCAAGTTCACGCTTCACTCCTCCCTTTACCCCTTCCCTTCCACCAGGGCTTTAACTGGGAGTCACACGGCCAACCCCAGGGCTGGTGGCGGCACCTGACCTCCCTCGCGCCCGCCATTGCTGCTGCTGGCTTCACGGCTCTCTGGCTGCCCCTCGCCTCTTCGTCCCTCGCCCCACAAGGTAACCCCCTCAATGTAGCCCCCAGCCTCTTCGTCTCACGGTCAACCCCAGGGCTGGTGCCGGCACCTGGCCGCCCTCGCGCCCGCCATTGCTGCTGCTGGCTTCACGGCTGTCTGGCTGCCCCCCGCCTCTTCGTCCCTTGCCCCACAAGGTAAACCCCCCGCCGCTTCCTCTCTCGCCCCTCAAGGTAAGCACCAGAGTGATTCTTCTGAGAGCTGGAGTCAAACCCTGCTCACTCCGCACCATTCTCAATCGTTCCCCACTCTCCTGTCCTCCTATCCTTCTCATTTTCTCACTCTCTGTCCCCCCAGGCTACCTCCCCAAGGACCTCTACCACCTCGCATCAGCATACGGCTCAGAAAACATTCCCTTATTATCCCTCTCTCTTTCCTTCTCTCTCCCCCACTCTCTCTCCCCCCAGGCTACCTGCCCAAGGACCTCTACCACCTCGCATCAGCATACGGCTCAGAGGCAGACCTGCGCACTCTCCCTTCTCTCCTCTCCCTGCCTCTCTTCCCCCCTTTCTCTTATTCCAGGCTACCTGCCCAAGGACCTCTACCACCTCGCATCAGCATACGGCTCAGAGGCAGACCTCCGTACCCTCATTGCTGCTTTCAGGGCTGCCCAACCCCACACTGCCACACCCCCATCTGCTGCTGCTAATGCTCCTGCTGCTGCTGCTGCTGATAATGATGATAGTGGCTCTGCTTCTGTTGCTGCTGTCGCGTCACCTGCTGTGGTTGCTGCGGCGGCTACTGACATGAGGCAGCGCAGTGGGTTGGTTCAAGCAGCTGAGTGTGCGTCTGTTTCCACTACTGATGGCACTGCAGCGCGATCTGCTGCCACTGGTGGTGCGGGCACTGGGATAGCCACAGACGCAGCAGCGGGTGTTGCCCGGACGCGGGTAGATGCGGTGGGGTTGAATGCGGTTGATGCAGTGGGGGTGGATGCAGGGGGAGTGAAGGCGATGGGAGTGAGGGTGATAGCAGACGTGGTGGTAAACCACCGGGTGGGCAGCCAGCAGGGGGAGGGCTGTGCTGCTGCTGGGATAGCCACAGACGCAGCAGGGGCTGGGAAGGAGATGGGAGTGAGGGTGATAGCAGACGTGGTGGTAAACCACCGGGTGGGAAGCCAGCAGGGGGAGGGCGGGCAGTGGACTCGCTTCGATGGCACGTCCATGCCGTGGGACGAGACTGCTGTCACATGTGACACTGGCGGCAAGGTGAGGTGCGGTGTGGTGCACTGAGGTGGGGGGAGGGCGGGCAGTGGACGCGGTTTGATGGCACGTCCATGCCGTGGGATGAGAGCGCTGTCACGTGTGACACCGGCGGCAAGGTGAGGTGCAGTGCGGTGAGGTGTGGTGCGATGAGACGTGGTGGTAAACCACCGGGTGGGCAGCAAGCAGGGGGAAGGCGGGCAGTGGACTCGCTTTGATGGCACGTCCATGCCATGGGATGAGAGCGCTGTCACGTGTGACACCGGCGGCAAGGTGAGGTGCGGTGTGGTGAGGTGGGAGGTGAGTTGACTAGGGGACAGGGAGCGGTGGATTTGCTTCGATGGCACTTCCATGCTGTGGGTGTGGGATGAGGTGAGAGTGCGGTCACCTGTGACACTGGCGGCAAGGTGAGCGAGATGGAGCAAGGTGAAATGAGGCGAGACGAGATTCGGTTGGCACAACGTGACCGCTCCACGTTTCGTTAATCCCCTCCACATGCTGCAGGGGATTTCGTTTCTTTACTCCCAGCCTTCAGCCATGAGACTAGGCGAGCTGCAGCTTAGGAGAATTCTTTAGCAGAAGAAAAACAGTAGAGTTTAAAACTCTTGTGTTGCCAGTTCAAAAAACAAGATCGAAACTGAGCTCTAAGTCCACTACAACGATTAAAACGCAAACATGTTTCGGACGACTGGGACAGACCCCCGTCAATCCTTCATCAGTGCTAGCGGAACAAGAAACTAGAGCAGAAAGAGCAACCCTTAAGCAAGAACTACCCATCAAGAAACAATCGAGGTTGGGTACAACCGTGGCTGAAATCTGGGCAGCCAATCCACAACACCCTGGAAAAAACCGAGGGGCTGAGGTCTTCACTCCTCGAGGCGTAACGTTGTTGAATCACAACTCGCCAGCTGGTGTTTCGGAAGCCTCGCACGAACAAGTAACTTTTGCAAGTTACAACCTGTTTTCCAAGCAACAAACAATTTCTCCATATAAAATCCACGGGAGAGTAAGCGTGTTTTGAGACGTCTCAAAACTACCCCTAGCCCGAGTCGAGCCGACACAGGTGTGTAGGTCGTCTTCAAGACTAGGGGCCCGCGTGTAGGAGGAGATGTTCGTCGTTGTAACTGGTTAGCGAGGGTGCTGGTGAGAAGAGTCGCACGTTGTGCGAAATGGACGCCGTTGAAGATCGGTCGTAGGAAGACTGGCGGGTAACCGCGGGCACGAAGTTGCTGGAAGAAAGCGACCTTCGTCGTTCGGAAGGCTGTCGCCGAGGTCGAGCGTAGCAAGTAGCGCTGCAGTTCGGCGCGGATGAACCCCTCTTTACAGTGCCGCGGGTGGAAGGAGGAGAAGGGGAGATATAGGTACCTATTCATCGGTTTCTGGTAAGTACCGAGGTCTAGGAAACCACGTTCGTGGAAACGAGGCCCTTTGTGAAGAACCACATCCAGAAAATCCACGGAACGTTCCGAGATGTTCCACGTGATCCGAATGTTCGGATCCAAGCCGTTGAAGGTGCGCAGGTACTCCTCCAAATCAGACTGCGCGACTGGCCAAATGATAAGGCCATCGTCAATATATCGGACGTGGTAACAAGGTGACACCCCGGTCCATCTCTCCTTCAGCAGCTCATCGAGACGACTCATGAACAGGATGGCGAAGCAAACGGCGACAGGAGTTCCCATCGCGGTCCCCTGCACTTGGTGGTACATCCGGTCGTCAAATTCCACAAAGGAATTTCTCATAACCCAACCCAGAAGGGCCATGAGCGGTTGAGCGAGCTGCGGGTTTTCTCTCGTCAAGAAACTGCTAACTGCTTCGAGTCCTCGGTCGATGGATATGCTGGGGTAGAGCGAGGTAACATCGTAGGTAGCTAGGAGGATATGAGGCGGGAAGGCCGTTGTCTCCAGCTTCGCTAGCAGTGCGAGAGAGTCGCGCAGGTAGGTAGCTCGTTTTAAAACTAGCGGTCTGAGTTGCGCATCCAGCCATCGACTCGCATTAGTCGTCACCCATGAATGAGAAGCTGCAATCGGACGTCCCACGGGTAACTTCTTATGGAGTTTAGGCAGGATGTAGAACGCCGCTGGGTGTCACCCTCCTGGCGGTTTGTCAAACAGAAATTTCCAAATACTGTCTGGGAAAGCAGGCCCCCATGTCGCCTTCAGCTCACTCAGCTGCTGCAGAACTCGAGGAGTCGGGTCGTGATGAACCGGTCTGTAGACATCCGCGTCGTTCAGGTGTTCCATGCACATCGCGACGTAGTGTGCTCGATCCATCACGGTAACTCCTATATTCTTGTCAGCTGGCTTGATGACGATGCTGCTGCCGAGCGATAGGGAACGTATAGCCGCACGTACACTCCGTGAAAGGTTCTGTCCACGCAGCGGCTTACACGTCTTCAGCAGGAAAGAAAGGTCGGCTCGCGCCTCCTTGAAGACTTGCTCCGGGACCTCGTCCCGATCGGGCCACCAATTAGGATTCTTCACCCGGAAACGTGATGAAGCTGATGGTCCTTTCCCCTTGAAGAAAAAGTCGAGGGAGATCTGTCGATGCAGCTGATGCAAATCTGCTTCGATGGAAAAGTTCCAGGCTGGCGTTGGTATGAACTTCAGTCCCATCCCGAGCGCTTTGGTCTCGTCGCGAGACAAAACCTTAGCGCTCAGGTTGTGTACTCCCCGGTTCAGAATGCGTGACTGCACCTGTCGTAGAGTCAGCTTCCCGAACCAGCGGAGCGCGAGGTCCCGAGGTGTTAGTTCTTGCGCGGCCCTTTTCCTGGGCCGCCGCCGCCGTTTTTTGGAACCTGGGCCGTAGTTGAGGAAGTTTGTTGGCCCTTCCCTCCGTCGCCGCCTGAAGACTTCGCTTTCTTCTTTCCTTTCCCGCGACGCCGCGTAGCCTTCGGTACATCTGCCTTGGAGCCAGTGTTCGTCTGGCTCTTTGACGGGTCCGCCTTGGGCTTCGCTGCTGCGGGGGCCGACTTGGAATCCTGCGATCCCATCGACAAGCTCTTCTTAAACTTGGCAGTAAGCTTCGCTTCGACGCTCGCCGTAATCTCCTTGCGCATCGTCTCCGCGTACTTCTGAGTAGCTTTTCGAACAAGCTCGTTGATCGTCGGATCCGTTTCCAGGTGCTCCATCTCTTCGGCAGCGGCTGCTTTCTTCAAATCTTCAGCGTCCCTGATCCTCTGTCTCTCCAGCTCCTTGATGATGATATCATCTTTGGCTGCAGCAATCTCCGACTTGGCTTTCTCGATGCAGATCCCTTTGATTTTCCGGAATTTTTCTCTAGCCGCATCAGATACGGTTAGATCCGGATCCGCAGTCAAGCTTTTGATGTAGTCTTCGAGCTTAGTAGCCAGAGTGGTGAGATGTGAGGAGGACGCCGCCAGGATTTCCTCAACCTCCAACTCCTTAGACTTGATGAAATCCTCCTGAATGCGCTTCTGGTTCTCGAGATGAACCGAGGCGACGGACGCGGCAGATTTCTCCCGAGTAACCGGGTACTTCGTCTGGAACTCCACGACCTTGGTGCGGATGCTGTGTAAGATCACACCTTGGCCGTTTAGCGTCTTCATCTTCTTCAGTTTGGACTTCGCCTTGAGGAGCGCCTTAAAATCCTCTCTGAAGCCCTTGACAGCAGCCGTCGTCCAGCCTTTTAAAAGCTCCGGAATCGTGACGGACGTGTTAGTGGCAGCTGACGGGTTGACGGGAGCCATGTTGACATCCTCGTCGTTCAGAGAATCCATGTCGGCAGCGTCGGGAGAATTTCCTGTCTGCTTGTTATCCTCGTGAATTGGTGCAGATGCGCCAGCGATTCCGTCAGCGTTGCGAGAACGTTTGTAACCCGCGTAAGTTTTCGGGAATGGGCCTGCTTCACGGGGAACTAGTGCGAAACTCGAATTTCCTAAGCCGGCGTCACCCGTAGAATTTGGGAGACCCCAAGTACCTTCAGCCATGAGACTAGGCGAGCTGCAGCTTAGGAGAATTCTTTAGCAGAAGAAAAACAGTAGAGTTTAAAACTCTTGTGTTGCCAGTTCAAAAAACAAGATCGAAACTGAGCTCTAAGTCCTTCCCCTCCCCTTTCTCCTCCTTCCTTCCCCTCCCCTTTCTCCTCCTTCCTTCCCCTCCCCTTTCTCCTCCTTCCTTCCCCTCCCCTTTCTCCTCCTTCCTTCCCCTCCCCTTTCTCCTCCTTCCTTCCCCTCCCCTTTCTCCTCCTTCCTTCCCCTCGCCTTTCTCCTCCTTCCTTCCCCTCCCCTTTCTCCTCCTTCCTTCCCCTCCCCTTTCTCCTCCTTCCTTCCCCTCCCCTTCTCCTCCTTCCTTCCCCTCCCCTTTCTCCTCCTTCCTTCCCCTCCCCTTTCTCCTCCTTCCTTCCCCTCCCCTTTCTCCTCCTTCCTTCCCCTCCCCTTTCTCCTCCTTCCTTCCCCTCCCCTTTCTCCTCCTTCCTTCCCCTCCCCTTTCTCCTCCTTCCTTCCCCTCCCCTTTCTCCTCCTTCCTTCCCCTCCCCTTTCTCCTCCTTCCTTCCCCTCCCCTTTCTCCTCCTTCCTTCCCCTCCCCTTTCTCCTCCTTCCTTCCCCTCCCCTTTCTCCTCCTTCCTTCCCCTCCCCTTTCTCCTCCTTCCTTCCCCTCCCCTTTCTCCTCCTTCCTTCCCCTCCCCTTTCTCCTCCTTCCTTCCCCTCCCCTTTCTCCTCCTTCCTTCCCCTCCCCTTTCTCCTCCTTCCTTCCCCTCCCCTTTCTCCTCCTTCCTTCCCCTCCCCTTTCTCCTCCTTCCTTCCCCTCCCCTTTCTCCTCCTTCCTTCCCCTCCCCTTTCTCCTCCTTCCTTTCCCCCCCTCATCCCCTCGGCAGGGCAACCCTAGCAGTGGCAGTGTTTTCGAGGGGGCATCCAACATCGACCACTCACAGCCGTTTGTGCGCCGAGATCTCACAGCATGGCTGACGTGGCTCCAGGTGAGGGATGTGGCATGGCTGACGTGGCTCCAATTGAGACGTGCTGGCATGGCTCTTCAGGATTGGGTTGAGCATTGCTAGGTGCAGGATGTTACACCATCTTAGTGTGCGCTTCTACTGGCTCCCATTGCTCCCATTTCTTATTATACCTTTTCCGTTTGCTTCCATGCCCCATACCCATACCCCATGCCCCACGTTTCCATCCCCATGCCCCACGTTTCCATCCCCATGCCCCATCCCCCATCCCCCAAGCCCCCATCCCCATGCCCCATCCCCATGCCCCATCCCCATGCCCCATCCCCATGCCCCATCCCCATGCCCCATCCCCATGCCCCATCCCCATGCCCCATCCCCATGCCCCATCCCCATGCCCCATCCCCATGCCCCATCCCCATGCCCCATCCCCATGCCCCATCCCCATGCCCCATCCCCATGCCCCATCCCCATGCCCCATCCCCATGCCCCATCCCCATGCCCCATCCCCATGCCCCATCCCATGCCCCATCCCCATGCCCCATCCCCATGCCCCATCCCCATGCCCCATCCCCATGCCCCATCCCCATGCCCCATCCCCATGCCCCATCCCATGCCCATCCCCATGCCCCATCCCCATGCCCATCCCCATGCCCCATCCCCATGCCCCATCCCCATGCCCATCCATGCCCCCTCCCCATGCCCCATCCCCATGCCCCATCCCCATGCCCCATCCCCATGCCCCATCCCCATGCCCCCATCCATGCCCCATCCCCATGCCCCAATCCCCATGCCCATCCCCATGCCCCCATCCCCATGCCCCATCCCCATGCCCCATCCCATCCATGCCCCATCCCCATGCCCCATCCCCATGCCCCATCCCCATGCCCCATCCCCATGCCCCATCCCCATGCCCCATCCCCATGCCCCATCCCCATGCCCCATCCCCATGCCCATCCCATGCCCCCCATCCCATGCCCCATCCCCATGCACCCATCCCCATGCCCCATCCCCATGCCCATCCCCATGCCCATCCCCATGCCCCATCCCCATGGCCCCATCCCCATGCCCCATCCCCATGCAACCATGCCCCATGCCCCATCCCCATGCCCATCCCCATGCCCATCCCCATGCCCCATCCCCATGCCCCATCCCCATGCCCCATCCCCATGCCCCATCCCCATGCCCCATCCCCATGCCCCATCCCCATGCCCCATCCCCATGCCCCATCCCCATGCCCCATCCCATGCCCCATCCCCATGCCCCATCCCCATGCCCCATCCCCATGCCCCATCCCATGCCCCATCCCATGCCCCATCCCCATGCCCCATCCCCATGCCCATCCCCATGCCCCATCCCCATGCCGCATACCCCATCCCGCCATCCCCATGCCCCATCCCCATGCCCCATCCCAGTGCCCCCATCCCCATGCCCCATCCCCATGACCCCATCCCATGCCCCATCCCCATGCCCCATCCCCATGCCCCCATCCCCATGCCCCATCCCCATGCCCCATCCCCATGCCCCATCCCCATGCCCCATCCCCATGCCCCATCCCCATGCCCCATCCCCATGCCCCATCCCCATGCCCCATCCCCATGCCCCATCCCCATGCCCCATCCCCATGCCCCATCCCCATGCCCCATCCCCATGCCCCATCCCCATGCCCCATCCCCATGCCCCATCCCCATGCCCCATCCCCATGCCCCATCCCCATGCCCCATCCCCATGCCCCATCCCCATGCCCCATCCCCATGCCCCATCCCCATGCCCCATCCCCATGCCCCATCCCCATGCCCCATCCCCATGCCCCATCCCCATGCCCCATCCCCATGCCCCATCCCCATGCCCCATCCCCATGCCCCATCCCCATGCCCCATCCCCATGCCCCATCCCCATGCCCCATCCCCATGCCCCATGCTCATGCCCCATCCCCATGCCCCATCCCCATGCCCCATCCCCATGCCCCATCCCCATGCCCCATCCCCATGCCCCATCCCCATGCCCCATCCCCATGCCCCATCCCCATGCCCCATCCCCATGCCCCATCCCCATGCCCCATCCCCATGCCCCATCCCCATGCCCCATCCCCATTGCCCCATCCCCATGCCCCATCCCCATGCCCCATCCCCATGCCCCATCCCATGCCCCATCCCCATGCCCCATCCCCATGCCCCATCCCCATGCCCCATCCCCATGCCCCATCCCCATGCCCCATCCCCATGCCCCATCCCCATGCCCCATCCCCATGCCCCATCCCCATGCCCCATCCCCATGCCCCATCCCATGCCCCATCCCCATGCCCCATCCCCATGCCCCATCCCCATGCCCCATCCCCATGCCCCATCCCCATGCCCCATCCCCATGCCCCATCCCCATGCCCCATCCCCATGCCCCATCCCCATGCCCATCCCCATGCCCCATCCCCATGCCCCATCCCCATGCCCCATCCCATGCCCCATCCCCATGCCCCATCCCCATGCCCCATCCCCATGCCCCATCCCCATGCCCCATCGCTCATGCCCCATGCTCATGCCCCATGCTCATGCCCCATGCTCATGCCCCATGCCATGCTCATGCCCCATCCCCATGCCCCATCCCCATGCCCCATCCCCATGCCCCATCCCCATGCCCCATGCTCATGCCCCATGCTCATGCCCCATGCTCATGCCCCATGCTCATGCCCCATGCTCATGCCCCATGCTCATGCCCCATGCTCATGCCCCATCCCCATGCCCCATCCCCATGCCCCATCCCCATGCCCCATGCTCATGCCCCATGCTCATGCCCCATGCTCATGCCCCATGCTCATGCCCCATGCTCATGCCCCATGCTCATGCCCCATCCCCATGCCCCATCCCCATGCCCATCCCCATGCCCCATGCTCATGCCCATGCTCATGCCCCATGCTCATGCCCCATGCTCATGCCCCATGCTCATGCCCCATGCTCATGCCCCATCCCCATGCCCCATCCCCATGCCCCATCCCCATGCCCCATCCCCATGCCCCATCCCCATGCCCCATGCTCATGCCCCATGCTCATGCCCCATGCTCATGCCCCATGCTCATTGCCCCATGCTCATGCCCCATGCTCATGCCCCATGCTCATGCCCCATGCTCATGCCCCATCCCCATGCCCCATCCCCATGCCCCATCCCCATGCCCCATGCTCATGCCCCATGCTCATGCCCCATGCTCATGCCCCATGCTCATGCCCCATGCTCATGCCCCATGCTCATGCCCCATGCTCATGCCCCATGCTCATGCCCCATGCTCATGCCCCATGCTCATGCCCCATGCTCATGCCCCATCCCCATGCCCCATCCCCATGCCCCATCCCCATGCCCCATGCTCATGCCCCATGCTCATGCCCCATGCTCATGCCCCATGCTCATGCCCCATGCTCATGCCCCATGCTCATGCCCCATGCTCATGCCCCATGCTCATGCCCCATGCTCATGCCCCATCCCCATGCCCCATCCCATGCCCCCTGCTCATGCCCCATGCTCATGCCCCATGCTCATGCCCCATGCTCATGCCCATGCTCAGGCCCCATGCTCATGCCCCATGCTCATGCCCCATGCTCATGTGCCCCATGCTCATGCCCCATGCTCATTGCCCCATGCTCATGCCCCATCCCCATGCCCCATCCCCATGCCCCATGCTCATGCCCCAGCTCCATGCCCCATGCCATGCCCCATGCTCATGCCCATGCTCATGCCCCATGCTCATGCCCCATGCTCATGCCCCATGCTCATGCCCCATGCTCATGCCCCATGCTCATGCCCCATGCTCATGCCCCATGCTCATGCCCCATGCTCATGCCCCATGCTCATGCCCATGCTCATGCCCCATGCTCATGCCCCATGCTCATGCCCCATGCTCATGCCCCATGCTCATGCCCCATGCTCATGCCCCATGCTTCATTGCCCCATGCTCATGCCCCATGCTCATGCCCCATGCTCATGCCCCATGCTCATGCCCCATGCTCATGCCCCATGCTCATGCCCCATGCTCATGCCCCATGCCATGCCCCATGCTCATAGCCCCATGCTCATGCCCATGCTCATGCCCCATGCTCATGGCCCCATCCCCATGCCCCATCCCCATGCCCCATGCTCCATGCCCCATGCTCATGCCCCATGCTCATGCCCCATGCTCATGCCCCATGCTCATGCCCCATGCTCATAGCCCCTGCTCATGCCCATGCTCATAGCCCCATGCTCATGCCCATGCTCATGCCCCATGCTCATGCCCCATCCCCATGCCCCTCCCCATGCCCCATGCTCCATGCCCCATGCTCATGCCCCATGCTCATGCCCCATGCTCATGCCCCATGCTCATGCCCATGCTCATGCCCCATGCTCATGCCCCATGCTCATGGCCCCATCTCATGCACCATGCTCATGCCCCATGCTCATGCCCCATGCTCATGCCCCATGCTCATGCCCATGCCCCATGCTCATGCCCCATGCTCATGCCCCATGCTCATGCCCCATGCTCATGGCCCATGCTCATTGCCCCATGCTCATGCACCATGCTCATGCCCCATGCTCATGCCCCATGCTCATGCCCCATGCTCATGCCCCATGCTCATTGCCCCATGCTCATGCCCCATGCTCATGCCCCATGCTCCAGCCCATGCTCATGCCCCATGCTCATGCCCCATGCTCATGCCCATGCTCATGCCCCATGCTCATGCCCCATGCTCATGCCCCATGCTCATGCCCCTGCTCATGCCCCATGCTCATGCCCATGCTCATGCCCCATGCTCATGCCCCATGCTCATGCCCCATGCTCATGCCCCAATGCTCATGCCCCATGCTTCATGCCCCATGCTCATGCCCCATGCTCATGCCCCATGCTCATGCCCCATGCTCATGCCCCATGCTCATGCCCCATGCTCATGCCCCATGCTCATGCCCCATGCTCATGCCCCATGCTCATGCCCCCTGCTCCATGCCCCATGCTCATGCCCCATGCTCATGCCCCATGCTCATGCCCCATGCTCATGCCCCATGCTCATGCCCCATGCTCATGCCCCATGCTCATGCCCCATGCTCATGCCCCATGCTCATGCCCCATGCTCATGCCCCATGCTCATGCCCCATGCTCATGCCCCATGCTCATGCCCCATGCTCATGCCCCATGCTCATGCCCCATGCTCATGCCCCATGCTCATGCCCCATGCTCATGCCCCATGCTCATGCCCCATGCTCATGCCCCATGCTCATGCCCCATGCTCATGCCCCATGCTCATGCCCCATCCCCATCCCCATGCCCCATCCCCATGCCCCATCCCCATGCCCCATGCTCATGCCCCATGCTCATGCCCCATGCTCATGCCCCATGCTCATGCCCCATGCTCATGCCCCATGCTCATGCCCCATGCTCATGCCCCATGCTCATGCCCCATGCTCATGCCCCATGCTCATGCCCCATGCTCATGCCCCATGCTCATGCCCCATGCTCATGCCTCATGCTCATGCCCCATGCTCATGCCCCATGCTCATGCCCCATGCTCATGCCCCATGCTCATGCCCCATGCTCATGCCCCATGCTCATGCCCCATGCTCATGCCCCATGCTCATGCCCCATGCTCATGCCCCATGCTCATGCCCCATGCTCATGCCCCATGCTCATGCCCCATGCTCATGCCCCATGCTCATGCCCATGCTCATGCCCCATGCTCATGCCCCATGCTCATGCCCCATGCTCATGCCCCATGCTCATGCCCCATGCTCATGCCCCATGCTCATGCCCCATGCTCATGCCCCATGCTCATGCCCCATGCTCATGCCCCATGCTCATGCCCCATGCTCATGCCCCATGCTCATGCCCCATGCTCATGCCCCATGCTCATGCCCCATGCTCATGCCCCATGCTCATGCCCCATGCTCATGCCCCATGCTCATGCCCCATGCTCATGCCCCATGCTCATGCCCCATGCTCATGCCCCATGCTCATGCCCCATGCTCATGCCCCATGCTCATGCCCCATGCTCATGCCCCATGCTCATGCCCCTCCATGCCCCATGCTCATGCCCCATGCTCATGCCCCATGCTCATGCCCCATGCTCATGCCCCATGCTCATGCCCCATGCTCATGCCCATGCTCATGCCCCATGCTCATGCCCCATGCTCATGCCCCATGCTCATGCCCCATGCTCATGCCCCATGCCCATGCCCCATGCTCATGCCCCATGCTCATGCCCCATGCTCATGCCCCCATGCTCATGCCCCATGCTCAATGCCCCATGCTCATGCCCCATGCTCATGCCCCATGCTCATGCCCCATGCTCATGCCCCATGCTCATGCCCCCATGCCCCATCCCATGCCCCATGCTCATGCCCCATGCTCATTGCCCCATGCTCATGCCCCATGCTCATGCCCCATGCTCATGCCCCATGCTCATGCCCCATGCTCATGCCCCATGCTCATGCCCCATGCTCATGCCCCATGCTCATGCCCCATGCTCATGCCCCATGCTCATGCCCCATGCTCATGCCCCATGCTCATGCCCCATGCTCATGCCCCATGCTCATGCCCCATGCTCATGCCCCCCATGCTCATGCCCCATGCTCATGCCCCATGCTCATGCCCCATGCTCATGCCCCATGCTCATGCCCCCATGCTCATGCCCCCATGCTCATGCCCATGCTCATGCCCCATGCTCATGCCCCATGCTCATGCCCCATGCTCATGCCCCATGCTCATGCCCCATGCTCATGCCCCCATGCTCATGCCCCATGCTCATGCCCCATGCTCATGCCCCATGCTCATGCCCCATGCTCATGCCCCATGCTCATGCCCCATGCTCATGCCCCATGCTCATGCCCCATGCTCATGCCCCATGCTCATGCCCCATGCTCATGCCCCATGCTCATGCCCCATGCTCATGCCCCATGCTCATGCCCCATGCTCATGCCCCATGCTCATGCCCCATGCTCATGCCCCATGCTCATGCCCCATGCTCATGCCCATGCTCATGCCCCATGCTCATGCCCCATGCTCATGCCCCATGCTCATGCCCCATGCTCATGCCCCATGCTCATGCCCCATGCTCATGCCCCCATGCTCATGCCCCATGCTCATGCCCCATGCTCATGCCCCATGCTCATGCCCCATGCTCATGCCCCATGCTCATGCCCCATGCTCATCCCATGCTCATCCCCATGCTCATGCCCCATGCTCATGCCCCATGCTCATGCCCATGCTCATGCCCCATGCTCATGCCCCATGCTCATGCCCCATGCTCATGCCCCATGCTCATGCCCCATGCTCATGCCCCATGCTCATGCCCCATGCTCATGCCCCATGCTCATGCCCCATGCTCATGCCCATGCTCATGCCTATGCCCCATGCTCATGCCCCATGCTCATGCCCCATGCTCATGCCCCATGCTCATGCCCCATGCTCATGCCCCATGCTCATGCCCCATGCTCATGCCCCATGCTCATGCCCCATGCTCATGCCCCATGCTCATGCCCCATGCTCATGCCCCATGCTCATGCCCCATGCTCATGCCCCATGCTCATGCCCATGCTCATGCCCATGCTCATGCCCCATGCTCCATGCCCCATGCTCATGCCCCATGCTCCATGCCCCATGCTCATGCCCCATGCTCATGCCCCATGCTCATGCCCCATGCTCATGCCCCATGCTCATGCCCATGCTCATGCCCCATCCCCATGCCCCCAATGCCTCATGCCCCATGCTCATGCCCCATGCTCATGCCCCATGCTCATGCCCCATGCTCATGCCCCATGCTCATGCCCCATGCTCATGCCCCCTGCTCATGCCCCATGCTCATGCCCCATGCTCATGCCCCATGCTCATGCCCCATGCCTCCATGCCCCCATGCTCATGCCCCATGCTCATGCCCCATGCTCATGCCCATGCTCATGCCCCATGCTCATGCCCCATGCTCATGCCCCATGCTTCATGCCCCATGCTCATGCCCCATGCTCATGCCCATGCTCATGCCCCATGCTCATGCCCCATGCTCATGCCCCATGCTCATGCCCCCACCCATCCCCATGCTCATGCCCCCCCATGCTCATGCCCCATGCTCATGCCCCCATGCATCTGCCCCATGCTCATGCCCCATGCTCATGCCCCATGCTCATGCCCCATGCTCATGCCCCATGCTCATGCCCCATGCTCATGCCCCATGCTCATGCCCCATGCTCATGCCCCATCCCCATGCCCCATCCCCATGCCCCATGCTCATGCCCCATGCTCATGCCCCATGCTCATGCCCCATGCTCATGCCCCATGCTCATGCCCCATGCTCATGCCCCATGCTCATGCCCCATGCTCATGCCCATGCTCATGCCCCATGCTCATGCCCCATGCTCATGCCCCATGCTCATGCCCCATGCTCATGCCCCATCCTCATGCCCCATGCTCATGCCCCATGCTCATGCCCCATGCTCATGCCCCATGCTCATGCCCCATGCTCATGCCCCATGCTCATGCCCCATGCTCATGCCCATGCTCATGCCCCATGCTCATGCCCCATGCTCATGCCCCATGCTCATGCCCCATGCTCATGCCCCATGCTCATGCCCCATGCTCATGCCCCATGCTCATGCCCCATGCTCATGCCCCATGCTCATGCCCCATGCCCCATGCTCATGCCCCCATGCTCATGCCCCATGCTCATGCCCATGCTCATGCCCCATGCTCATGCCCCATGCTCATGCCCCATGCTCATGCCCCATGCTCATGCCCCATGCTCATGCCCCATGCTCATGCCCCATGCTCATGCCCCATGCTCATGCCCCATGCTCATGCCCCATGCTCATGCCCCATGCTCATGCCCCATGCTCATGCCCCATGCTCATGCCCCATGCTCATGCCCCATGCTCATGCCCCATGCTCATGCCCCATGCTCATGCCCCATGCTCATGCCCCATGCTCATGCCCCATGCTCCATGCCCCATCCCCATGCCCCATGCTCATGCCCCATGCTCATGCCCCATGCTCATGCCCCATGCTCATGCCCCATGCTCATGCCCCATGCTCATGCCCCATGCTCATGCCCCATGCTCATGCCCCATGCTCATGCCCCATGCTCATGCCCCATGCTCATGCCCCATGCTCATGCCCCATGCTCATGCCCCATGCTCATGCCCCATGCTCATGCCCCATGCCCATGCCCCATCCCTCATGCCCCATGCTCATGCCCCATGCTCATGCCCCATGCATGCCCCATGCTCATGCCCCATGCTCATGCCCCATGCTCATGCCCCATGCTCATGCCCCATGCTCATGCCCCATGCTCATGCCCCATGCTCATGCCCCATGCTCATGCCCCATGCTCATGCCCCATGCTCATGCCCCATGCTCATGCCCCATGCTCATGCCCCATCCCCCATGCTCTGCCCCATGCTCATGCCCCATGCTCATGCCCCATGCTCATGCCCCATGCTCATGCCCCATGCTCATGCCCCATGCTCATGCCCCATGCTCATGCCCCATAGCTCATGCCCCATGCTCATGCCCCATGCTCATGCATGCCCCATGCCTCATGCCCCATGCTCATGCCCCATGCTCATGCCCCATGCTCATGCCCCATGCTCATGCCCCATGCTCATGCCCCATGCTCATGCCCCATGCTCATGCCCCATCCCCATGCCCCATGCTCATGCCCCATGCTCATGCCCCATGCTCATGCCCCATGCTCATGCCCCATGCTCATGCCCCATGCTCATGCCCCATGCTCATGCCCCATGCTCATGCCCCATGCTCATGCCCCATGCTCATGCCCCATGCTCATGCCCCATGCTCATGCCCCATGCTCATGCCCCATGCTCATGCCCCATGCTCATGCCCCATGCTCATGCCCCATGCTCATGCCCCATGCTCATGCCCCATGCTCATGCCCCATGCTCATGCCCCATGCTCATGCCCCATGCTCATGCCCCATGCTCATGCCCCATGCTCATGCCCCATGCTCATGCCCCATGCTCATGCCCCTATGCTCATGCCCCATGCTCATGCCCCATGCTCATGCCCCATGCTCATGCCCCATGCTCATGCCCCATGCTCATGCCCCATGCTCATGCCCCATGCTCATGCCCCATGCCTCATGCCCCATGCTCATGCCCCATGCTCATGCCCCATGCTCATGCCCCATGCTCATGCCCCATGCTCATGCCCCATGCTCATGCCCCATGCTCATGCCCCATGCTCATGCCCCATGCTCATGCCCCATGCTCATGCCCCATGCTCATGCCCCATGCTCATGCCCCATGCTCATGCCCCATGCTCATGCCCCATGCTCATGCCCCATGCTCATGCCCCATGCTCATGCCCCATGCTCATGCCCCATGCTCATGCCCCATGCTCATGCCCCATGCTCATGCCCCATGCTCATGCCCCATGCTCATGCCCCATGCTCATGCCCCATGCTCATGCCCCATGCTCATGCCCCATGCTCATGCCCCATGCTCATGCCCCATGCTCATGCCCCATGCTCATGCCCCATGCTCATGCCCCATGCTCATGGCCCCATGCTCCCATGCCCCATGCTCATGCCCCATGCTCATGCCCCATTGCTCATGCCCCATGCTCATGCCCCATGCTCATGCCCCATGCTCATGCCCCATTGCTCATGCCCCATGCTCATGCCCCATGCTCATGCCCCATGCTCATGCCCATGCCATCCCCATGCCCCATGCCCTCATGCCCCATCCCCATGCCCCCATGCTCATGCCCCATGCTCATGCCCCCTGCTCATGCCCCATGCTCATGCCCCATGCTCATGCCCCATGCTCATGCCCCATGCTCATGCCCCATGCTCATGCCCCATGCTCATGCCCCATGCTCATGCCCCATGCCATGCCCCATGCTCATGCCCCATGCTCATGCCCCCATGCTCATGCCCCATGCTCATGCCCCATGCTCATGCCCATCCCCATGCCCCATCCCCATGCCCCATCCCATGCCCATGCTCATGCCCCATGCTCATGCCCCATGCTCATGCCCCATGCTCATGCCCCATGCTCATGCCCATGCTCATGCCCCATGCTCATGCCCCATGCTCATGCCCCATGCTCATGCCCCATGCTCATGCCCCATGCTCATGCCCCATGCTCATGCCCCATGCTCATGTCCCCATGCTCAGTGCCCCATCCCCATGCCCCCATCCCCATGCACCCATGCCTCTCATGCCCCATGCTCATGCCCCCATGCTCATGCCCCATGCTCATGCCCCATGCTCATGCCCCCATGCTCATGCCCCATGCTCATGCCCCATAGCTCATGCCCCATGCTCATGCCCCCTGCTCATGCCCCATGCTCATGCCCATGCTCATGCCCCATGCTCATGCCCCATGCTCATGCCCATGCTCATGCCCCATGACTCATGCACCATGCTCATTGCCCCATGCCATGCCCCATGCTCATGCCCCATGCTCATGCCCCATGCTCATGCCCCATGCTCATGCCCCATGTCATGCCCCATGCCTCATGCCCCATGCTCATTGCCCCATGCTCATGCCCCTGCTCATGCCATGCCATGCCCCATGCTCATGCCCCAATGCCCATGCTCATGCCCCATGCTCATTGCCCATGCTCATGCCCATGCTCATGCCCCATGCTCAATGCCCCATGCTCCATGCCCATGCTCATGCCCCATGCTCATGCCCCATGCTCATTGCCCCATGCCCCATGCTCATGCCCCATGCTCATGCCCCATGCTCATGCCCCATGCTCATGCCCCATGCCATCACCATCCGCCCCCATGCTCATGCCCCATGGCATCCATGCCCCATGCTCATGCCCCATGCCTCATGCCCCCCCCATGCTCATGCCCTCATGCCCCTGCTCATGCCCCATGCTCATGCCCCATGCTCATGCCCCATGCTTCATGCCCAATGCTCATGCACCATGCTCATGCCCCATGCTGCATGCCCCATGCTCATGCCCCATGCTTCATGCCCCATGCTCATGCCCCATGCTCATGCCCCATGCTCATAGCCCCCCCATGCTCATGCCCCATGCTCATGCCCCATTCTCATGCCCCATGCTCATGCCCCATGCTCATGCCCCATGCTCATGCCCCATGCTCATGCCCCATGCTCCCTGCCCCATGCTCAATGCCCCATGCTCATGCCCCATGGCCCCTGCTCATAGCCCCATGCTCAGCCATGCTCGCCCATGCTCATGCCCCCATGCTCATGGCCCCATTGCTCATGCCCCATGCTCATGCCCCTGCTCATGCCCCATGCTCATGCCCCATGCTCATGCCCCATGCTCATGCCCCATGCTCATGCCCCATGCTCATGCCCCATGCTCATGCCCCATGCTCATGCCCCATGCTCATGCCCCATGCTCATGCCCCATGCTCATGCCCCATGCTCATGCCCCATGCTCATGCCCCATGCTCATGCCCCATGCTCATGCCCCATGCTCATGCCCCATGCTCATGCCCCATGCTCATGCCCCATGCTCATGCCCCATGCTCATGCCCCATGCTCATGCCCCATGCTCATGCCCCATGCTCATGCCCCATGCTCATGCCCCATGCTCATGCCCCATGCTCATGCCCCATGCTCATGCCCCATGCTCATGCCCCATGCTCATGCCCCATGCTCATGCCCCATGCTCATGCCCCATGCTCATGCCCCATGCTCATGCCCCATGCTCATGCCCCATGCTCATGCCCCATGCTCATGCCCCATGCTCATGCCCCATGCTCATGCCCCATGCTCATGCCCCATGCTCATGCCCCATGCTCATGCCCCATGCTCATGCCCCATGCTCATGCCCCATGCTCATGCCCCATGCTCATGCCCCATGCTCATGCCCCATGCTCATGCCCCATTTCCCATGGCCATGCCCCATGCTCCGTGCCACATGCCCCATACCCTATGCCTACCCACAGGCCGATGTGGGGTTCTCAGGGTTCCGCTTTGACTATGGCAAGGGGTACAGCGCAGAGTATGTGCGGGGGTATGTGCAGGGGGCACGCCTGCGCCTGTGTGTGGGCGAGTACTGGGACACCTGTAACTACGTCGGGGCACAATACGACCTCGATTACGACCAGGGTGGGTGTGACTGTGACAGGGGAGTATGTGAGACTTCAACTGTGATGCTGTGAGGTTGTGGGCATGTCTGTGTCTGGGCACGCCTGCGCCTGTGTGTGGGCGAGTACTGGGACACCTGCAACTACATTGGGGCGTAATACGACCTTGATTATGACCAGGGTGGGTGGGACCATGAATTTGTGAGATTGTGAGAGTGTGAAACTGTCGGAATGTGAGACTGTGGGCATGTGTGTGTGAGGGTGCGCCTGTGTGTGGGCGAGTACTGGGACACCTGTAACTACGTCGGGGCACAATACGACCTCGATTACGACCAGGGTGGGTGTGACTGTGACAGGGGAGTATGTGAGACTTCAACTGTGATGCTGTGAGGTTGTGGGCATGTCTGTGTCTGGGCACGCCTGCGCCTGTGTGTGGGCGAGTACTGGGACACCTGCAACTACATTGGGGCGCAATACGACCTTGATTATGACCAGGGTGGGTGGGACCATGAATTTGTGAGATTGTGAGAGTGTGAAACTGTCGGAATGTGAGACTGTGGGCATGTGTGTGTGAGGGTGCGCCTGTGTGTGGGCGAGTACTGGGACACCTGTAACTACGTCGGGGCACAATACGACCTCGATTACGACCAGGGTGGGTGTGACTGTGACAGGGGAGTATGTGAGACTTCAACTGTGATGCTGTGAGGTTGTGGGCATGTCTGTGTCGGGGCACGCCTGCGCCTGTGTGTGGGCGAGTACTGGGACACCTGCAACTACATTGGGGCGCAATACGACCTTGATTATGACCAGGGTGGGTGGGACCATGAATTTGTGAGATTGTGAGAGTGTGAAACTGTCGGAATGTGAGACTGTGGGCATGTATGTGTGAGGGTGCGCCTGTGTGTGGGCGAGTACTGGGACACCTGCAACTACGTCGGGGCTCAGTACGACCTTGACTACGACCAGGGTGGGTGGGAGGGTGAGGGGGTGAGAGTGTGAGACAATCAGAGCGTTTGTGGAGGTAGCAGGGCTGTGCGTCTGCGAGTTGAGACTGTGTGTGTGTGGGCGAGTACTGGGACACCTGCAACTACGTTGGGGCTCGGTACGACCTTGACTACTTACAGCATATTTACATACCACCATGCACTCTTGAGTCGGGCAACATCTCCCCCGGATATCACCTTCCCTGGATGTCACCTCCACCCGGCTCGTGTGCAGCCAGACTCGCACCGGGGGCGCATAGTGGAGTGGGTTGAAGGGGCGGGCAGGCTGGCAGCGGTCTTTGACTTCACCACTAAAGCCATTCTGCAGGTGAGTGAGTGGAAGTGACTGGGAAAATGAGTGGCCAAGTGAGTGGGCAAGTGAGTGAGTGAGTGAATGAGTTGAGTGGGAGAATGAGCGAGAGTATGTTTGTGAAGCGCCCTTTCTGTGTCTTACAATGTTATTACTCATATTTATAAACCACTCTTCCCTTCTCGCTCATTCCCCCAGTCTGCCCCTCTCACTCTCTTACCTCTGCACCTCGCTTGCTCCTCCGCAGGAGGCAGTGAAAAGGAAGGAGTGGTGGCGGCTAAAGGACAAGGAAGGCCGCCCGCCAGGCGTGATGGGCCTGCTGCCCTCTCATGCCGTCACATTTGTCGATAATCATGACACCGGCTCCACTCAGGTGAATACAACAGATCCTCAGGTCAATACAGCAGGTGTTCAGGAGATCTCTGATTGTTGGTTTGGAATTCTCCCTTCGTTCCTTCTATGATACGTATCTTGTGTTCAGGACTGACTTGCTTGCACTCGTGTGTCTCCCTCCTCTGTGTGTCTCCCTGTGTGCTTGGGGCTGTGCCATGCAGGCTCATTGGCCATTCCCCTCTCATGCTGTCATCCAGGCAAGCCAATGCCCTCCTCCCATACGCTCTCATTCTCTCCCAATTACCTTGCAAGAATGTTCTACTCTCTGTATGCTTCCCAGGCAAACCATCCGCTCATGTATCCCTGCCTTAATTGTCGGTTCTTCTGCCTTACTCTTATGACTGCCATCCACTCATCATTGCACACTCACTTGGCGTGAACATTGAGTCTTCTCACACACATGTCATCCTTCCATCACGGATGGCCCTTGCACCCCTTGTCATTCAGGGCTATGCATACATCCTCACACACCCGGGCATTCCGTCCGTGTTTTACGACCATTTCTTTGACTGGGGCACGGATCTCAAGAATCAGATCCAGCAACTGGTGAGTGCGTTTTGGTGCATGGTGAACTGTTGGGACTGGTCCTTTTTTTTTTTTTTTTTTTTTTTTTTTTCCGAAGCTTTGATGCATGGTGAACTGTCGCACTGCGTCTCATGACTCAGGGGTAACGTTTGATCTGGCTTGTTTGTCCTTTACTGTGCGCACTTTTATTTCTTATCATGCACTCATTGCATTATGCTATCGCATTGCTGGCAGATTGATGCTCGGAGGAGGGCAGGCATACATAGCCGTTCTTTGATCCAGATACTGGCAGCAGATGACAGCAGATATGCCGCCATCGTTGGGGGGAATTTGTGTGTGAAGATTGGAGATGGGGAGTGGAGCCCTGGTTTGAGCGAAATAGCAGGGCTTCTGAACTCTGGCGATTGTTGTGACGCCAGGGGTGGTGGAGGAATAGGGAACGATCAAACAAGTGGTTCCGTGTTGAGAAAGTGGAACTTGATAACGTGTGGAGAGGGGTATGCTGTATGGATCTGGGAATAATCTTCTTAATGATACGTGGTATTCATGTCAGCTGTATAAAGTCTGTCAAATTGGAACTTTAGCGAATCAAGTTGAAGCGAATCGCCTCGCTCCAGCATTCCCACTGATTCGAGGCGTTTCCCGCCAAAACTCACTCGTCTGAATTCGGCCTTCAGAGATACGTACCTCGCTGATCAACTTTTCCGAGTCATTCTGATCAGGTCGCTCTCGCGATTCGACCTTAGTTGAAGGCTCGAGATGGGCAATTAGGCTTGTGATAGTTGCGACGTTGACCTCGGTCGCAGCAGCGTATGAATAGACTGGATGGGTAACCGATTCCTAGATTTTGCGCACGCTTTGCGTTTTTTTTTTTTGGCACGAAGGCTGCAGGTGATGTCAGATTAGTGTTCGGATTGATCCGGGTTACGGAGTGTTCTGCTTGATGTATGTTTTAATGAGCCTCCTATGATGGGTATCAGAGCATCCTCGTCTTCAGTGCCGTGGAAAGTGCGTCATAGATTCACCGAATTGCCTTGTTAGACGAGCCGGTCAGCTGACGTCGAAGGACTAAGGGTGGCCGGAACTATCCTGATCAGCCTCGGTTGTAAGGATTCTAGGCTAAAAGTTAGTCTTCGTCACGTTATAGTAGCTGGTTTTAAACCGTAGGGTGTCCTATTAGCGAGTTGACTATTAACTGTGTACTAACTCTATTCCAGGGTGTCACTGCCCCGCCATCGCTCATGGCTTCCGAAATTCGTAGCATCCGCGTTAGTATCCGTTGCAAGTCGGTCAGGCGTCGTTATATCGGGATGGCGTGTTCTGTTTTCCTTCTGGCGCTCCTGGCATCGGGAACTCCAACAGTCAGCGCATTCGAACATGCCAGTGGCGACAGCTACGCGTTCAGCGATTTCCACCCGGAACGAGGAGCCTCCAACGGCTACACTCCACTAGGTGTGTTGTCTGAAACCTGTTGAAACTCATTCTTTGGGTTTCAGACCCACTAGCAGCGGGCGACGTATCTCGTAACACCTTTACATCTCGCCACACATTCGTCTTCATTTCCCCACCCAACTCTCATCAGAGCTCCATCTGGGAGTCAACAGCGTGGAGGTTTCAGAACCAGTAGCATCAGAGGACGGTGCCTTGTCCCCACCTTCACTGCACACATTGCTTCCCTCCCTTCCCCCACCCAACCCTCATCAGAGCTCCATCTGGGCGTGGAGCAGCGTGAAGTGCCTCATCCCACATTCAGAGCGCTCCCCACCACCCCTCCCTTTCCCCACCCAACCATCATCAGAGCTCCATCTGGGAGTCAACAGCGTGGACGTTTCAGAACCAGTAGCATCAGGGGTGGGCGTGCTGCATTTGTTTGCATCGCACGCACGAGCCTTCCGACCCGGGCCCACTTCCCTTTTCCGTTCCTTCCCAAACTCCTGTGCAGAGCTTCATCTGGGAGTCAACAGCGTGGACGTTTCAGAACCAGTAGCATCAGGGGTGGACGGTGGCACCACCCCTGTCTGCATCGCTCGCACGCGTCTCCCCGCTCGGCCGCGCCTGAGGGGCGTGTCTCGCGGGTTCCACGTGCTCAGAGTCACGGCCACCATCCCTGCTGTGGGAATGCCACGTGGCGCTTTTTCCCCCCCCGCGCCCAAGTTCGAGTTCTGCGTGCATTGGTGAGTGAGTGTCAGTGGTGGGTTAGCTTGAGTGCATAGCACAGCACAGATCAGCTCGCAGTCGTGTCTGAGGGGCGTGTCTCGCGGGTTCCACGTGCTCAGAGTCACGGCCACCATCCCTGCTGCGGGGATGCCACGCAGCGCCTTCGCCAGCGGACCCAAGTTCGAGTTCTGCGTGCATTGGTGAGTGAGTGAGGGTGAGTGGGGGGCGTGGCGAGCAGTGGACAGAAAGTTTCGGTGGTTGGCGGGTGGGTGTATGTGTGGGTTGTTGGCGCCGGGATCCCTTTTTTTCCTGCTAACTGCGTCACTCTCCCGATGCTCCCCTCCCCTGCATCACTCCAGGAATGCCTCGCAGCCCCTAGGGGAGTGCCCAAGGGGGGCATGGCGAGCAGCGGACAGGAAGGGGAGGTGGGTGGTGCTGCGGTCGCCTTTCGAGGGCGCGTTCATTGATGTGAAACGAGAGGGTGGGGTCGTTGGGGATCATGACGTCAGCATCAAAGTAGACGAAGGTAAGAGAGTGAGGAAGGTTTCGAAATGTACTGCTTGTGGTTAAGGAGTAGAGCGGGCATACCATCAACTCGTCTTTCCATCATCGTATGTCACCTTAGGCTTCCCCTCCTCCCCCAACCCCCTTCACCTTTTTTTGTAAGTTATATTTTCAAACGCTGTCACAGTTCCGTTGTAACGTCCTTATTTTTATGGCCTCACTTTGCTCTCCTCAACTGTGTTTGATCAGACCTGGAGCCTCATCGGGTGGTGTTCTTTGTCCTGGGGTTCCTGCTCATGCTGCTGGCGGGCCATCTAAGCTCTATGGTAGCGTTCTACTACGGAGGGGGCATGACGTTGGGTGTGCTGCTCGTGGTCATCGTTATCCTCTACCAGGTGTGTGTGTGGTGTATCTGTGGCGTGTGTGTGGCGTGTGTTTGGCATGTGTGGTATGTGTGGCGTGTGTGTGGTGTGTGGCATGTGTGGCATATCTGCTGTGTTGTGTGCGCTCACCATCTGAGCTCCATGGTAGCGCTCTACTACGGAGGGGGCATGACGCTGGGTGTGCTGCTGGTGGTCATCGTTATCCTCTACCAGGTGTGTGTGTGGTGTATCTGTGGCGTATGTGTGGCGTGTGTTTGGCATGTGTGGTATGTGTGGCGTGTGTGTGGTGTGTGGCATGTGTGGCATATCTGCTGTGTTGTGTGCGCTCACCATCTGAGCTCCATGGTAGCGTTCTACTACGGAGGGGGCATGACGCTGGGTGTGCTGCTGGTGGTCATCGTTATCCTCTACCAGGTGTGTGTGTGGTGTATCTGTGGCGTATGTGTGGCGTGTGTTTGGCGTGTGTGGTATGTGTGGCGTGTGTGTGGTGTGTGGCATGTGTGGCATATCTGCTGTGTTGTGTGCGCTCACCATCTGAGCTCCATGGTAGCGTTCTACTACGGAGGGGGCATGACGCTGGGTGTGCTGCTGGTGGTCATCGTTATCCTCTACCAGGTGTGTGTGTGGTGTATCTGTGGCGTATGTGTGGCGTGTGTTTGGCGTGTGTGGTATGTGTGGCGTGTGTGTGGTGTGTGGCATGTGTGGCATATCTGCTGTGTTGTGTGCGCTCACCATCTGAGCTCCATGGTAGCGTTCTACTACGGAGGGGGCATGACGCTGGGTGTGCTGCTGGTGGTCATCGTTATCCTCTACCAGGTGTGTGTGTTGTGTATCTGTGGCGTATGTGTGGCGTGTGTTTGGCGTGTGTGGTATGTGTGGCGTGTGTGTGGTGTGTGGCATGTGTGGCATATCTGCTGTGTTGTGTGCGCTCACCATCTGAGCTCCATGGTGGCCTTCTACTACGGAGGGGGCATGACGCTGGGCGTGCTGCTCGTGGTCATCGTGATCCTGTACCAGGTGTGTAGCATGTGTAGCATGTGTGGCATGTGTGGCATCTGGAGTGTGTTGTGTGTCGTCACCACTTGAGCGCTATGGTGGTGCTGGTGGTCATCTACTACGGAGGGGGCATGACGCTGGGTGTGCTGCTCGTGGTCATCGTGATCCTGTACCATGTGTGTAGCATGTGTGGCATCTGGAGTGTGTTGTGTGTCGTCACCACTTGAGCGCTATGGTGGTGCTGGTGGTCATCTACTACGGAGGGGGCATGACGCTGGGTGTGCTGCTCGTGGTCATCGTGATCCTGTACCATGTGTGTAGCATGTGTGGCATCTGGAGAGTGTTGTGTGTCGTCACCACTTGAGCGCTATGGTGGTGCTGGTGGTCATCTACTACGGAGGGGGCATGACGCTGGGTGTGCTGGTCGTGGTGATCGTCATTCTCTACCAGGTGTGTAGGGAATGACAATGACCACGAGCAGCACAACATGAAAATCTGTCCGCCCCATCATCCCTGCCACCACCCGCCCCATTACCCATCATCCCTGCCACCACCCGTCCCATTACCCATCCCATCAGGTCATGCGGTTGCTGCCCCTGGGTCGCAAGAGCAGCCTTCAGATCCTCCTCTATGGCTCGCTGGTACGTGCTATGGCTCGCTGGTACGTGCTATGGCATGCATGTAGTGAATGGCATGGGGTGCATGTGTGTGTGATTGCACCCACGGAGCGCCTTTCATCTTATCTGGGTATTGTACTGTTTCTTACGGGGCATGTGCACTAGAGGCGTATGTTATGTGGAAGAGCTGGGAGAGCAAGTAGAGAGTGAGACGCAAAGAAAGGGAGATAAAGAGGGAGATGAAAGTGAGAAAGGAAAGGGGGTTCGAAAGGGAAAAAGGAAGGGGTGAGGAAAAAGGAAAAAGCAAGGAGAAAGGGAAGAAAGGGGAGACAGAGAAGGAGAATGTCCGGATCCAAAAGAAAGATTGGTTTTTTATCGAGAAGGAAAGCCCTATATTTACGCTTTTTCGCAGCGGCTTAACCCGACTTCGCACACCATGGCAGAGAAGGTGACAGGTGTGCAGGGCTTGCAGGTGCACTCAAAGATTGGTATCTCGGGAATTTATGGTGTTACCATATACAAGAAACATCTGTTTTTGCTGCGATTACAAAAAGAAGGTGCAGAGGTAACAGTAAGAAAGATTCGTGATAGAGGGATTGCTGCGAAGGCCTCCGAGTTACTGTACGTTCTGCAACGTCAACGATTTCCTCTCGCCCACGTGTTTACCACGCATGAAGACGTGAAACGCGCACTTTCTGCTTCTCTTCATCTTCAACAAGGGCGTTCCTCCAGTCTTTGTTGCTATACTTCTCTACCTCCTCGATCAGAACAGAAAGTGCGTGTTTTACGTCTTCATGCGTGGTAAACATGTGGGCGAGAGGAAATCGTTGACGTTGCAGAACGTACAGTAACTCGGAGGCCTTCGCAGCAATCCCTCTTTCACGAATCCCTCTTACTGTTACCTCTGCACCTTCTTTTTGTAATCGCAGCAGAAATAGATGTTTCTTGCATATGGTAACACCATAGATCCTCGAAATACCAATCTTTGAGTGCACCTGCAAGCTCCGCACACCTGTCACCTTCTCTGCCATGGTGTGCGAAGTCGGGTTGAGCCGCTGCGAAAAAAGTGTAAGTATAGGGCTTTCCTTCTCGATCAAAAACCGTTCTTTCTTTTGGATCTGGAACCTTCTCCTTCTCTGTCTCCCCTCTTTTCCCTTTCCCCTTGCCCTTTCCTTTTTCCTCACCCTTTCCTTTTCCCTTCCGAACCCCCTTTCCTTTCTCACTTCCATCTCCTTCCTTATCTTCCTTTCTTTGCGTCTCACTCTCTACTTGCTCTCCCACCTCTACTTGGGGTTCATAGGGGTGATCATAACATACGTCACGGGAGCAGTCAAAAGTGCCATGGAGCCTCAATTGATGCCCGGCCCCACACGTCTCCTCCCCACCCCTTCCCACCAGATGGGGTTCATAGGGGTGATCATAACATACGTCACAGGGGCGGTCAAGACTGTGCTGCGTGCAGCCTTCACAGATGCACGCCCTAAAAGCACCTTCGATCCACTTTCGCACTCCTTCTTACCCTCCCTATCAGATGGGGTTCATAGGCGTGATCATAACGTACGTCACAGGGGCAGTCAAGACTTCTTTGGATGCACTCTTCATGTGCACCTTCAATGCGATTCTCCCCCACCCTCCCCACCAGATGGGGTTCATAGGTGTGATCATAACGTACGTCACAGGGGCAGTCAAGACTTCTTTGGATGCACTCTTCATGTGCACCTTCAATGCGATTCTCCCCCACCCTCCCCACCAGATGGGGTTCATAGGCGTGATCATAACGTACGTCACAGGGGCAGTCAAGACTTCTTTGGATGCACTCTTCATGTGCACCTTCAATGCGATTCTCCCCCACCCTCCCCACCAGATGGGGTTCATAGGTGTGATCATAACATACATCACAGGGGCGGTCAAGACTGCCATGGAGCCTCAACTGATGCACGTCCCTGCACGTCCCTGCACATTTCCCCTCATCCCTTTCCAGATGGGGTTCATAGGTGTGATCATAACGTACGTCTCGGGGGCGGTCAAGACTGTCATGGAGCCTCTAGGCCTTGGTGATGACGTCATCTCTCCGGTAAGCATTCCATCTTTTTTTTGTAATCATGCCATCACTGTTTGGTGATCATGTCGTGTCTCAGTCAGTCATGCCATTTTTTCCTGTAATCATGCCGTTTCTTTCCTGTAATTCATGTGATATTCTTTTTTTGTATGATCCATGCCATACTTTTCGTGCCAATACGTTTGCTTTTTAGACGTTATAAGAGAAACTTATTGTCTTTGGTGGCTAGTCCGCCTGGCCTTATCTTACAAAACTCAGTGGCCTTCTTACATTGTGACAAGGGGAAGTCACATTAACTTTCTGCGTTTCCCACTTGCCAGTTTCATTCTCGAGACGCAATCTCCTTTTTCATAACTACAACCCTTTGTCCTCATCTCCATTTTCCTCGTTCTTCCCCCCCAATCCTTTTGTCCTCATTCTTTCTGCCAACCCTCTTCTCTTCATGTTGTACCCAACCCTTCCCCAGGTGGTGGTGTTTGTGCTTGTACTGGTGGTGCTTATAGGAGCAGCGCTGGGTTTCTGGGTGGTGCGGAAATTCATCCTCTCGCCCACAGGGGAGCTCGACCCCCCTACAGTGTCCTTCGTAAAATGGGGGCTCAGAATAATTGCAGCTACACTGCTTATCATGGTACGTGTGAAGCTTGGATAAACGCATTTTGCTTATCATGTCATGGTACATTCCAAGATATGCAACTCTGCTTGTTATGTGCGGTTGGGTAAGACACTCACTCTCACCCACTGTCACCATTCCCTCACCAACCCCTTCCCTCTGCCCATTCCCTTCCCCCTCTCTTCCCACACCCCTTCCCCCCACAGAGTTCAGCGGATGCCATCATAGCCACGTCCCTCCTCCTCCTCTCCCTCACCACCACCCTCCTCCTGCACCTCCTCTCCCCCCGCGCCCTCGCCCTCCTCTCCCCCTCCGCCACACCCTCTGCCACCCCCACCACCTCCTTCCTTGCCCGTGCTTGCGTTCGGAAAGGCGAGCAAGCAGCAGAGCAGGAAGGGGAGGTGGGGGGGATGGGGGGGATTGGGGGTGCCTTTTCTCCCCCCCAGCAATACGGCACACCCCCTCAGGGGCCAATGGGAGGAGTGGGGGGGGGCCAGGGGTATATGACACCCACGAGGGGGGTTGAAGCGTCGCCTTACATGCGCATGGGAACGCCCTTCCAGGGACCACCAGGTACGGCGTTTGAGACGTCTCAAAACTGGGAGGTGTGGGGTGAGGGCAGGGGTACGTGACACCCGCGAGGGGGGTTGATGGGTCACCTTACATGCGCATGGGAATGCCTTTCCAGGGACCACCAGGTACGGCCTGTTCGTGTTTTTGAATCGATTCGAAACTCAGCAGTTGGTGGGGGGAGGGCAGGGGTATGTGACACCCACGAGAGGAAGGTTCGCCTTACATGCGCATGGGAACGCCCTTCCAGGGGCCACCAGGTACGGCCTGTTCGCCTTCTGAGGTTCTGTGTGTCTTGCTCTCTCTCTTCGCTCTCGCTCCCTCTTCCAGCTCTCTTTTCTCGATCTCGCTTTGTGGTCCCACCTCCTCTTATCTGCACACAGAGACGGCCTTATTCGGATTTCGGACCACCAGGAATGGCCTGTTTGCCTCCCAATGCTGGGATTGCCTCCCAATGTTGTGTTTGCCTCCTTCACGTGCTTATCGTGCAACTTTCATTTCATAGTGCATCGCCTCTCCTCTCAACGGTCCTATCCCCTCCCCTCTCCCACCCCTCCCTCCCACCCCTCCCTCTCACAGGTACGCCGCGCACTCCTCTCCCCTCCTCCCCACTCGCTCGTACCATCTGCCCCTCCTCCAACCACCGCACGCCACACCGCCGCCACCTCACCCCGGCACAGGCAGCAGCAATCTCACACCAGTGCACCCACGCTGCCCTGCAGGAACTGGCTCCCTGGTTGTTTCTCACCTTTTTGCTCTTCCCCTCTCCTCTCCTCTCCTATCCCCTCTCCTCTCCTCTCCTCTCCTCTTCCATCCCCCTTTCACTTCCCTTCACAGGCACGCCTCGCACCCCCTCCTCCCCTCTCTCCCGCTCGGTCTGTCCCTCCTCCTTCCACCGCACGCCACACCGCCGCCACCTCACCCCGGCACAGGCAGCAGCAATCTCACACCAGTGCACCCACGCTGCCCTGCAAGATCTGGCTTATTCCCCCGGGTTCGGGCAGTGGGTGCTGCATAACTTTGACCGGATAGCTATTACCCCGAGGATTCTGAGGGAGGAGCGGAGTGAGGGGGAGATTGCTGCTACAGCTGAGATGGAGGAGGGGTTTGAGGAGGAGGGGTAGGAGGGTTGGGGAGAGCATAACTTTGACCGGATAGCCATTACTCCGAGGATTCTGAGGGAGGAGCACAGTGAAGCAGAGATTGCTGCCACGGCTGAGATGGAGGAGGGGTTTGAGGAGGAGGAGGGGTTTGAGGAGGAGGAGGGGTTTGAGGAGGAGGAGGGGTTTGAGGAGGAGGAGGGGTAGGGGTTGTGAGGAGGAATGAAGACGTGGGGAAGAGTTTAAGTTCGGATCACCATCACCCTGAGGGGTCTGAGTGGAGAGTGGAGCGAGGGCTACGGCTGAGATGGAAGGAAGGTTCTGAGGAGGAGCAGGCAGGGTAGGGGTTGTGAGGAGGAATGAGAAGAGGAGGGAGAGGAGACGAGAGGATGTGAGGAGACAAGGTCTATGAGAGTGCACCCATGCAGCCCTGCAGGAACTTGCTTATTCTCCTTGGGTTCAGGCAGTGGGTGTTGCATACCGTAATAGCAATTACTGGTACTCCTGGGATTCTGAGGGAGGCGTGGAGCGAGGGGGAGATTGCTGCTACGGAGATGAAGCAAGGGTTGGACGAGGAGGGGTAGGGGAACCTTACCAGCTAGCTAGTCATGTGGTAAGGAGCTGGTTAACCAGCTAGTTTGGGAAGGTAGCAGTAAGTTCACCCTCGCAAAATGGGTTACGAAAATAAAACTCCTGCCGTATTTGAGTGCCAGCGGGTTTTCCTGCGATGAGTTTGAGCTGTGCTCACCCCCCATCCTGTTGACTTGGGCTGGATTTGGCTAGCGGGTGGGTGTTGCAGAGCAGGGCACTAGCTGGAGTAGGTAGGTAGGTAGGCATGTAGGAGCAGTAGGTGTCAGGTTCTACCATAGTTGGATGAATGTTCTAATGAATTGGTAATGGAGCCTGATTTTTGAATCGATTCTGTTAGCATGAACATTAGTGTTGTACGACACTGTATTGTACCATATGCCCTCATCTGATGCCAAACCGAAATTAGTCCTATCCTATACCATCCTGCCAGCACAACGCTGAAAGCAGTAGCAACCCAACCGGCCTTGTCGTATGATGAAAGCCATTCAAAATTCCCAATTTCACTTTTAGCATTACCGGTACGAACATCCTTCATCCTGATCCCTCAACACAGCCAGTCCCACCTACCCCAAAACCCGCAACCACTCCTAACCAACCTTTCCCTCAACCCATCTCCACCTTCCTCCACTCCTCACCCCTTTCCTCCTGCTGCAGCTCCAGCGCTCTCCTGCAACCAAATCCTGACCGTCCGATCTTGATCCAACCCTCCAGATGCGATCATGTTCTCGCTTGGATGGCAGGCCACAGTGAGAACAATATCGGTGTGCCCTGACAGCTTCTGCACCACTGTACGCGCTTGTAGGTCCCACAGGTACACGCTATTGTCCTCTGACCCACTCACTATGTATTTCCCATTGGTTACGGAGAAGGTTGAGAAGATGCAGTACTTTTTGTTCACGTGCCCTGTGTAGGTCTTGAGGCACTTGCCAGTTGCGTAATTCCACAGACGCTGGCGGATGGAGAAGGGAAGGGAGGGAAGGCAGAGGGGAGGGGAGGTCGGAAGAGTGGGAGAGGGAGTGGGTGGGTACGCGCTAGAGTTGAAATCACTATTGAGAATTCTCAAAAGTGGGTGGGTATGCGCTAGAGTTGGAAATTGTGACTGGAAAAGGAAAGGGGAAAGGAAAACATTAGAGGGCAAGCGGAAGAGGGAGGGGGGATGGGGGAAGAGGCGGGAGATGGGGGCGACAGGAATCCTCATAAGGGGGGTATCAAGCGTATCGACCTGAATGAACATCTGGTTACGAGAGACGAGAGGGAGGGGGCGGTGGCGGGAGCGGTTGGGGAAGGGAGGCGGAGAGGGGGGAGAGGGGTTGGGGGGTGGAGGTTGCGGGGGAAGAAGGGGTGATGTGGGGAGCGGGGGAAGAAGCGGAGATGCGGGCGACAGGAATCCTCACCAGGGTGTTATCGAGCGTGCCGGCGAGGATAAACTTTCCGTTGGGCGAGAATTTGACGAACGACACGGGCGGGTTGTCGTCGTCGATTAGGGTTTTCAGGCAATGCCCTGTCTGCGTGTCCCAGATACGACAAAGCCCGTCGTACGAGCTCGACACCACCAGCGACCCGTCGCGGTTGAAATGAACCGCCGTTACAGGGTCCGAATGGGCAGGCAAAACTTTCACGCACTTGCCCGTTTTCACGTCCCACAGCCGAACCGTCTCGTCGAACGCGCCGGAAACTATGAGATTAGATTGCGGGTTGAAGTTACAACAGAAGACGTAGTTAGTATGTCCCTTTAGGATCTGCACGCACGGACGCGTGGTCGGCGCGGCTCCGCTATTAGCATCCCCGCTAGAAGCTGCCTGCCCTCCCGTGACGTCCCATATCCGCAGCGTGTGATCGTCCGATGCGGAGCAGATGTAACGCGAGTCGGACGACCATGCGATATCGCTTATTCCCTCCGTATGCGCCACGAGCGGCGGGTCTGACGGCTTGCCGTCAGCTGCGTGCCAGATCCTGACGGTTTTGTCGGCTGACGAGCTGGCTAACCATTTTCCGTCGGGCGAAAACTTGACGCTCGAAATGGCCTTCTTATGACCGTTAAGCGTGTATTCAAGAACGTATGGCACGTAACCCTTAGGCGGCACTACTTGGACTGCTGCGGGAGCAGCTGTAGCCGCGGTACCGGGTGTCCCAGCGGCTTCTGCGGCGGGTTTTGCGGGAGTAGCTGCAGCGGCTATAAGGTCGAGGGTAACGCGCTGCGAAGACAGCACACGCAAGTCGGGACTATGGGTAATCGCGCCTCGCAAAATAACCGAGGAACAATCGAGGAAGAGCCGAGGCGCAAATTGCAAAGCTCGGCAAAACTAAATCGTTTCTGTTTGATGTCTGGGTGTTCTTGTGAGGCGGCAGCGAAACCCAGACCATAAACCCGTGAAATGTGCCTCGCTCAGAGGAAGACTCGGTCAAGGTTGTGTGGGAGGTGCATTGAACAATCAGTGCGAAGGGTTTTACCAGGGTCTGACAGGGTATAGCGGGGTTTTGTGTTATGTGACAAGCAGATTGGGTCGGCACTGACGATGTCAGAACATTGCGAACGAGATTAGCCTGTTTGAGTAACCACTTATGTTACACGGGACAGGCGGACTAATCTGGCTAGAATACTTGCAGAATTATAGCGTTCGGGCTGGCTAATCTGGGTGACACGGGCTGTACCATAGCGGATCAGTACAGTCCACGTCATCTGACCTCCTGCTTGCGTCATTAGGGAGCAGTGCATGAAACGCACGCAGCCGTTCGTCGCGTGTGATGACCATTCCCTTGTTACCCACTGGTCGCAGACTTCAAGAAACAACTCGAAGGCGCTACGAGACTCGCTTTGCTAAGCAACACGAAAGAGCGCTGCAAGTGTGGTGGTTGTCCGACCGCAGGTGGCGTCAGACAGACTCGATGAGCGCTTCGGCAACCAGCCGCATCCCAAGCAGGGCAAGCGGCCTTCGCGGTCCACCTGACCTTCCCCAAGGAAAAAGTTTTTGTTCCGCGGCTGCGCATTATTGCACCACAGTTTCCCCCCAACCTCAATTATTTGCGCGGTCGCGGAAATCTTCTGACCCGAACCCACAACCAGCGCACCGAAACGCCTCAATCGGAACCGTCCATTCCTGCGAAACGCGCCGAAACGCGTCTCTCGTGTTTGTCCATCCGCCGCTCCTTCTCTGCACAACCGCCTCGGCTCCTTCATCCCTTCCCCCTGTCTCCCTTCACCGCTGAATTTTCTTCTAAAATCAGACCGAAACTTGCAAGCTCCCTTTTCTTCACGCAATCCAGAACCCCACTTTTCCCCTTCCACACTCCTCAGTTTCTCCATACGTGGCAGGTTAGCGCCATTTGCGTGTTGGAGTGGTTCCTTCTGCTTTCCTTCGCTTGCTGGGCACATGTCACGTCCAATAATTGCCTACTTCTGAGTTAGGATAGGATTCCTGCTTACTGAGAGTCGCTCACTCGTTGACACCGCAAGAAGCGTTATACATACCACTGCCTGTTGGAATCCACTAGACTTGCTTCTCTAGACCTCGACGGAGCCGTATATTTCTTCCAGACTCCTCCTTTCCAGAAACCTTTTCTACCCTCCACGCCTTGAAAAACGCTTGCATCGTTTCCTTGTTAGTGCTCGTTTTTCGTTCTAGTCAGATTCTCGATTCCACACTCCGGAAGCCCAGCCAGACGGACGGTACGATGGGCGTATCAGCCAGTCCCTACGCCACCGAGCTTCACACCGCCGTTCTTTCCGGTCGAATCCTCGCCGTCCGTAAATTCATCGATCGCGGCGCGCGAGTAACGGCGCGTGACAAGATCGATCGCACCCCTCTACACTGGGCGGTCGCCGTGGGCCTCGAAGACATCGCCAAGATCCTCCTTATAAGCACTCCCCCGCGCTCGCTAAAAGCCGGCGATAAGTACGGCCGAACGGTCCTTCACTACGCCGCAGCGTCGGGTAACGTTACACTTGCTCGCGTGATGATCAACCGCGGCGCGTCGGTGAACGCGGAAGATCAACGGCTGGTAACGCCGCTCCATCTGGCGGCGGAGCATGTGAATCCGGAGATGGTGCAGCTCCTGATGGGCCACGGCGCGCTGTGCGGGGCGGCGGACGCGGAAGGGCGGACTCCGCGGGAGTACGCGGAGCGGGTGGGCAGCGCGCACTGCGCGCGTCTGTTGCGTGAGGCGGAGGAAAGGACGGTGGATCGTTCGGCTGCGAAAGCTACGGCGGCGGTGGCAGCTGATCAGTCGAAGGAGAATACAGGGGGCTTAAGGGAGGGTGAGGCAGGTGCATTGTTAACATCATCACACGCGGTCTCAGCAGCTGCTTCAGCAAGTCCTGCCGGTTCCGATGCTCCCTCGCGGCTTCGGGTTCCGATGGCGAACCTGGCGAACGTACCTGCAGCAGATACGGCGGCAAAGGGCAATCGGATGGGAGCAGACCCGCTGAAAGCAGCAGCACGGGAAAGTGACGTGGCGAGCTGTGAAAATTTAAGCAATTTCCAAACGTGTGGAGGGCTCCAGGTGTGTCGAGGGGTAGTGGAGGAGAGGCCAGTGCCTTTAGGGGAGAGCTCTTCCGAGGCTAGTTCCCGCGATTCTGTGCCGCCTGCATGTGCTGGGAGGTTGGGTGCAGAGGAGGTGGGATTCAGCAGGAGCTGTTTTGGAGGCGTGCGGTGCGGGGAGAGGCCAATCTCAGCTTGGGATGAAGGCTGGGGTGTGCTGGGACTGCTCGGAGCGTTTTGAGGTTGGGTAGTGGCGTAGGTGGGCTGTGCTGGATGGTGGGGGGTTATGGGATTTAGCTGTTGTGGAATTGCTGTTGCTCCTGGCGCTTTCTTTACTCACTTCACCCTTGCAAGCAACACCGTTTTCAAGCTTTGTTGTGGGGTTTGCAGTGAAGGGAGCGCAATAAGTGCAGTTTGGGCACATGACTGCTGGAGCTGTAGTGTCTTTCCCCTTCCGTGGGTGCATGAATAGTAGAGACTCACCATCTGTGTGTACTGTTTCATGTAACGCTGGAAATTGGTTGTACATATAACTTTCGTAGATGCCCTCTTTTGAGCAAGGCTCAGTTCCCTCCAACGGCCAGTTCCCTCCAGTGCCAGTTCCCTCCAGTGCTGGAGGGATGTACACAAAACTACCAATGGTTGACAGATCCTTACTCCATGCTTATACATCTGATTTTCCTATTTGAGGGTACAATATAGCTGCAGAGCAGAGGCCCTCCAGGCATGCTCTGCAAGCTAGTTACCTGCATGAGAGCAAGTCTTTGTTAGATAATCAATGAACTTGATGTACACTTACAAGTTACATGTAAGCAAGTTCGGCCTGTACGCTAGCATTGCACTTGCATACCAGGCCCAAGTACCATATGGATGATACACGCGGGGCTATCGATTGGAATCACCTGGTGCTGGTACTTTTCGACATCTGCAGGATTGGCACACAAGGGGATCTGCCACAGAAGAGCACGGAGAGGCGCGGCAAAGCAGAATCACAGTGAGAGAAAACCTTTAATCAGCACTGGTGCATGTGATTCTGTAGCATTAGTACAGCTTGACTGAGTATGCATGCCGCACATGCATGTGCATGTACATATTATGCATGCACATGTAACTTACCAGATAGAGCAGGTTCAGGTGGTGGAGCAAAGATGACATCTCCATCGCGAATCGTATCCGTGTCAGTGATCTCCCCACCGTCCTTATTCACAAGGATTCTCACAGGGAATCCAAACAGTGTGCTCAGCTGCTCTTTCAGGGTGACCATAAAGAGAGGTACCAACACCACCTTCCCATATGGTCGTCCCATGAATCTTTTCTCTTCCCCAGCCCGGCTCCCAACACCTCCTTCCCTCCCAGGTTCAGGCGATGCAGAATCCCCTGATGAATGCACTGCCTGATCAGGCAAACAGTCACGTGGTTGCCTTCCATGAGCTCCCTCGCTAAGTTCATCTTCCCCAGGAGAATCCCCAGGTGGATTGCCAGCTGGGCCAGTGTCCCATGGTTGGCATGGGAAGACTGTGACGCGGCGGTTGGCCACAGCCACAGATGGGGTGGGGGGCGGAGGCAAGGCCGTGAACGACCCTGAGAATGATCCTGCAGGAACGTAGTTGCGGTGAGGGTAGGGAGTGATCGGCTCTCCCACTCTCCCCAAAGGTCCTGACAGGGGCTGGCTGGTCGCATAGGGAGTGGGGGGGTCTGGTGAGGGTATCAGTTGGGTGCGGACTTCGTCTAGTGATGAAAGGGGGGCTGTGGAGGCGCGACTCAGGCTTCTGTCTAGAGGGTTGATGGTGAGGGGGGTGGGCCGCTGTTGTGCACGGGGAGCAGAGGCTATGCCAGGGGCAGGTGGAACAGGGGGGAGAGCAGCGGAGGCAGAGGGGTATGGTGCGGTGTGCGCGGTGTGTTCAGCGTGCGTGATGGCGTGTGCAGTGTGTGTGGTGTGTGTGGTGTGTGGATCCGGAATAGATGGGGGATACGGGTCAGAGAGTGGGAAGGTTGCTGAGGACGAGCGAGGCTGCGATCCAGAGCCATCATACGAGGTCGCCGCGCTCAAGGAAGCAGCAGCATGGAGCTTCGGAGGAAGCGAATGCATGAGGGGCGACGCAGGAGGGGTGAAGAGCGGTTGGTTCGAAGCCGGCTGGTGCTCTGAGAGATACTCGTCGATGACCGGGCCAGGAAGGAGGTCGGCCAGGAGATCACTGGGGATGTGCACAGAGCTGGTGGGGCGTCGGCGCAGGTGCATCACGCGCTGCTGGAGGAGGGGGTCGGAGGGCAGGCAGGTGGAGGGGGATGCGGCTCCCGAGCTGCTGCCTTCAGGGACAGATTCGATCTGGTCGGACCAAGTGGTGTCGATGCTCTGGGAGCGCCGCCTGCTGGGCTGGGAGTGGCGGGGAGTGCTGGCTGTGTTGCTGGTGGCAGTGTTAGTCGTGCCAGTGGTGGTAGTGGCAGCGGTGCTAGTAGTAGTGGCCGGGGCGCCTGCGTTGGAAGATGAAGGCTGGTGGTGGGTGTGGCGGCGGCGCTGTGAGCCTCCACGAGTCAAAGAGGCTCGTCCAGCTGGACGGGAGAACAGAGTAATGGCATTCCATAAGTTGAAGAGATTAAAGAACCGAAGGGCATGCGCCGAGAGACAAAAAGGATCAAAATTGACAATGCATCGAAAGAAATTGCCAGACTCAACAATGAGTCAAAACGATGCTCGACATCCCATGAAGCTGAAGCCCTCTCAGCCCCGGAGTCTTCCAAAAAAATACCTGGTGGCCGACTTGCCAGCGGCGGCAGCTTCACGCGCATGCCATCCTTGAGCAGTGCAATCACCGGCCTCGCCCCATTCCGGCACGCCTCATCCACCGGAAGGTGGCCCAGCCGGTCCCGTGCCCACGCATCCGCCCCGTGCTCCAGCAGCAGCCGCACGAGCACAACGGAGCCCTCTGCTGCTGCCACATGCAGGGGCGTGCGCAGATCGTGATCTGCCTCTTTGGGGTCGAGGCCGAAAGAGAGGAGGCGCTCCAGGTACTCCACCATACCGCGCTTCACCGCATGGCACAGCTCGCTTGCGGGGTCATCCAGGAGGATCTGGGCGCCGTGCTCCCGAAGCACCTCGGCTGTCTGCATGTGGCCTGCTCGCAGGGCTTCCAGGAGAGGTGTCACGCCGAACCGGTCTGAGGGGATAAGGGGAGGGAGGGACTGATGAGGCTTTGCCCTAAGCCCTTGGAAATAAAAGCACCAACTCCGCTGTCTGCATGTGGCCTGCTCGCAGGGCTTCCAGGAGAGGCGTCACACCGAACCGGTCTGCGGGGATAAGGGGAGGGAGGGAGGACACTGATGTGATCGGGCTATGTTCTAACTAAACTTGAGAGTTGTAATAGAAGCACCTTGGCTGTCTTCCATGCACAGTCATGGTCTGGTGCTTATTCCTCCTCTCTTTCTTCACATGAAGCACTGTGCTCACCTTTCCTGTTGGCAGCGCCTCCCTCTCTCAGAATAAAACTGCAGATGTCCGGAAAGCCCCTAGAAGCTGCCAGGTGCAGTGCAGTCCGGCCGTCAAAGTCCCCTTTAGAAAAGTCTGCTCCGAGCTTTCGCAACATCTTGAGGTGGTCCAGGTCTCCCCGTGCTGCTTGCTGTATGGCGCTCAGCGTCTGCTGTGCCTGTCGCTGTGTCACCGCCCTGCGCACCTCCTCTGCCGTGTCTGTGAGTCGACGAGCCCTGGGCTGGCCAAAGTCTACCGGTTCAGATTCCGATTGCCCGAATTTCTGCAATGACCGGAAGGAGGTAGGGATGGGGAGGGCAGGGAGGTTGAAGGGTGGAGAAGGGAAGGGATAGGAAGGGTGGAATGAATGAAGTGCTCTTAGGGCCACCCTTCCTAAGACGGCCCTAAGGGATAGGAAGGGTGGCCCTAAGAAGGGAAGGGCTACTACAACATGCTCTGACAAACCACAACACAACATGCTCCTGAACCGATCCCATGGATCAGCACCATAAACCAAAGTTATGAACCAGTGCATACACTACTGTTTTAGTATTAAAGAGAACCAGACTGATTGTTTGTGGTAACTCACCTGCAAATAATTGCTGATAATCCTCTCTCCATCTTCCTGATGAAACGCAATGGCCTCAGAAAAGACCTGCCCGTCGATCCTCAGCAACTTGCAGAACGACTTGACGTGTGCAGTGAAGGGAGAGAACTTGCTGGCGAGCAACCCTGCCTCCCCAAACATCTCCCCTGGACTCCAGACTGTGGCCACTCGAGCTCCATTCCTGCTGAAATGAACTTCTTCCTACATGTTGCACAGAAAGAACGGAAAGAGATGTGAAAGTGGAGAGTCGTGAAAAGGAGAAACAGGTGGAGGGGTTATTCAACAACGTAAGGATGTTGAATCTGGTAGTACACCCTAAGGTGGAACAATGGTAGGTCAAACGACAAGTGCATCTATCTCACCACTTCTCCTTGCACGAGCAGATAGAGCTGATGATTGTTGTCATGCCGACTCACCACCACCTCCCCAGGAAGAAAATACTCTACTCGCAGTCGTGAAACCTGCAACAAGCATAAAAAAAAGTCGGTCTCAGATTGCAAGGGATTCTCCAACGAAATGGAGAACAATTGAACAGCGATTTGTTCACGTCCGTCTAAGAAGATGAAAAGAACTGGAAACTGTGGCAAGTCAAGACAACTGCCACAATGCTGTGAACGCAATGGTAAGGGAAAAATAATGGGTAAAAAGGGTAAATCTTGCCCAGAGGAGTATAACCTACCAGGAATTGAATGTACGCCTTTGAGCAGCCTTGGAATAGATATGCATCTGCGAGCACCTTCCCGTGCAGGGACATTGCGACCCCATCACGGATGGAGATGGGAAACTCGTTGACCAGCTTGTTGTCCTCCTCCAACGCCTCTTGCTTCAGCACCACGTGGGAGAGCAACTGCTCCTTCATTCCAGCAGGAATCTGCTTCCTGAAAACACAAAAAGAATGATGGAAAATGAAAAGCAAGGGGCGTCAGACTTGAAATCTTGAAGTACTAGCAGGTTCCAACACGCTGAGAAAGCCCCAACCATAACAGCCACAAACTGATGGCGACAGAGTGTGTAATGCAGCACCTGTTGGCATATCTGGTAACATTTGATAATCGTTCACGCAAGATTTCTGATCTCGACTGGTATCTGACAACCAGCGCTGTGAAGTTGGCAATAAGGTATGCCGTGAACAACATGTCCCAGACCACGAAGGCAATGGTGAAAATCATCTCTCGAGGATTGACAGGATGTACATCGCCATAACCTGAAAACGGGAGCATTGGTAAGGGTTATCATTCCACAAAATACGATGAAAGCTACAGGAGGAATTCTGGTGGCACAAGAAAACGCTCTTGGACTCACCGAGACTCGCCATTGTCACCATAGCCCAATAAAGGCTCACACAATACAGCTGGAAAATGTTCATTTCTCGAAAGTCAGCGTAGCTCTGATCTCCAAGCTGAAGGCTACCAATCCATGTGTATCCTGATTGATCTTCAGGCATGGTGAGAGCGAGAAAGTACATAATGCATGCAGCACTGTGGACCACATAAAATTCTGTGAGAAACATCTCAGTGCAGCGAACCAGAAAGTAGTGGTACCGCGTGTCCTTCCCCAACCTGCAAAAAAAAAAGGGTCATCATCATGTGTTGTTTTGACATTGAAGGAATGGTATGAAGGGCTGGTGATCTTGCCTGTCAGCAAATTCTTTCAAGTGCCGAGCACGAATCAATCGAAGCCACAAAAGAATCTCGAACACGAGGCTTCCACTTGCCTGAAAAGAGCAAGAAAAGAACCGTCATTTCACATGCATTCTCAAGTGAAAATCCTAGAGGTTCTCATTCCAAAAGTCCGCGAGACTGGTAGAACAGGAAAGAATATTACCTGGTATGCGTATTCCCATGGAATGCATGAGAGGAAGTCAAGAGTGAACCAGGCCTGCAGGTACCTGCGAGATTTCTGCATCAGTGATTAGGGCATTGATTAAAAATTAGTGTCAATAGCAGAACTAACGCACCTTATTGCAATCCTCCTTCTGTCAGCGATCAGAGAGCCTGTTCGATGATCCTTAACGGCTACTCTAAACGTGATGAAAATGTCGGCCAGAAATATGACATTCGACACAATGTCCATGATTAGTAGACCCAGAGGAGGGAATTTCAGTCGGAAAAAAGCGAACTCGAATGGGGTGATAAGTGAGGAGTATAGTGCCATGACGATGACAATTAGTCTCCAGTACCAATGGAACCTGCCAGGAAAGACCGTATGCCTCATCAATCGGCACTGGAGAAGTCATGAAAAAAACCGTATTGTTTTGACCACACTCTACCTATTGCCTGGCAATATCAGTTGTCCGGGATAGACATAGTCCCGAAATATCTCGAGCCAGTGAGTTTTCCGGCTAGGCCGTGGCTTGTGTCGTTCCTCGTGCAGCTTGGCTTCGAGAGCAGCTTCTTTGACAACCTTAGCAAGCCGCGAAGCCAACGATGCTGACATGGTGTTTAAGTTCTCCGGGACGGAAAGCTCAAAATCAGAATTCCCCAGCATGTTGCCTTCCCCGTTAGTCATTTCAGATACTCTGCTTAGAAGCTCCTCTTGTGACGATCGATGCCTAGCTCCTGGCCAACCCATATTTTCTCGGTGAGCTGAGTTTGATCTGCTTCAAAACTACAAGGTCTGAATGAATTTTTAGACCGAGTGCATATAGAACTTTGCTGATACTAATCGCTCATCCTGGTGCCTGATCGGCTTGCCCAACAAATAATCGGACGTTACGTGCAAGACAATCAGTACTCACGCTTGATAAGGATAAGACTCCGGAAACCATGACTCACACGAGCAACTGCATCTAAAATGAAGCTTACTAGCTAATAGCTTGGAAGCAGGAACTCGTAGACACATCCCCTACATACTGGACATCGGAGGGCTAACGAAATCATCAGACGAATCATCGAACTCACATCGGCTAACAATAGATAGAAAGGTATCAATGGTGCTGTGCTGGGGGTGTGGATCCCTGCTTATCTCAAGCATCTCCCTTTCCCCTCACACAACACAAAGTTTCAAGAGGGGTAATGAACGGTTTGGAATGCTGTTAGCGTGGTGCATTTTGGCGAAAGTCACTTTCAAGAGGAGCGTTTCAGACCACGTCACGCTGGTCGGGGAATGGGCGGGGGCGTGGATGTAAGGCCTTGACCATTCTGATTGGCTGTAAAAAGGAAAGCATGTCAGCAGGCTGTCTCCTCGAAAGCATACGCACCTACTTACCCAGGCCAACATGTAATTTTGTATGAACACTAAATATTCAAAACAATAATGCTAGAAATGTAAAAAGTAAACAGCTTCGGAAGCGAGGAGAAACCATGTTGAAAGCTGCACCACCAATCTCATCCACTGACCTCAATCCATTATAGACGCACAACATATGAATTGGCATGAGTGACATACCGCACCCAGCGGTATGGATTGTACGCCTTGCCCTTATTCAACACCTGCAAATACCTTACCTGGAGCCTAGATGCGTTGTACATGGGGATATTGAACGACAGGCTAATTGGACCAGTTTCCTTCTTCATGTTCCCTGAACCCCGCTCCTGATTCAGGGTCATCTTGGCCCGGCATGTATGCTCATTCCCACCACCGGGCATCTTCTTTATAGTCCACTCCAGAATCTTGGACGCATCCTTGAAATCCGTAGACTGCCCCACAGCTCCAGGGTCTAAATCACAGCTCACTTTGATGACACTCTTGGGCAGCGGCACACGGACAACAATGGAGTTGGCAGTCGCTGTGGCGGGAAACTCTGCCTTTAACTTTATGAACAGCTCTATCTTGAAAGGGGTGATCTCCTCCAGAACCGGGTACACCCGGAACGGAGGCTTGAACTCGTGTGTCATGCGGTAATTGATGACTGAGAACTCCCCGTCTGGAGGCACGAGAGTCATTGTCCGGTCCACATCAAACGTATCCAACCGTACGCTCTCATGAAAGTTGCAGTCATCTAGAACGACGATTCCGAATCCTCCGCTCCCATCCTCTCCCATCCCGCCACCCCCTCCATACAGCAACGACGGCGGAGCGTTCCTCTGGCCTATAACGAGGTCCTCGTTAAGAGCTATCCTAACTTCAGGATTCGCGGTTAGATAACTCTTCATCTGTATGGTTCCGTCAATCTCACACGTCAGGATGTAACCGTTGGGGCTAAAAGTCACGCTCAGCCGTTCGATCACATCAACAAACACCTCCTCCCGCTTCTTCACGCCTGTATCAGGAGCCACCACGGATCTCATCATAGCCGCTCCTGGGACCCGATTCCGACCGCCAGTCATGAACAGCGAAGCAGCGGCTCCTCCAAGCGCAGGAGGAACGATCATTCCACTCCCAGGAACCCCTCCCGGAAGAGGCGACGAGTCCATGATCGGTACTGATTCGTTAAAAACAAACGCTTTAAGCGCCTCAGTGGACATGCTCTGCGGATACCCAAAGTCCATCATTTCGTCGAGCAGCTCATAAACGAGGACGAAGTTCTTGCGAAGGGATTCCTCGTTGAGAATACCGAGGTAGTCCTTCGCAACGCGAGCGATCCGCTGCAGGAGCTCCAGGACGAAAGACGGAGAAACATTTCCGCGAGCCGTAGCGACGAATAGCAGGCCCGAGCACTTAATGTAGAGGTAATTCACTCCATCGAGGTTGAAGATCGGGGGAGCCTCTTCCGCTGCCTCATTGTCGCCTTTCCAGAACCTGAATTTCCGGAAGAAGATCTCGGGGCTCGTTTTCGGCACATCGCAGCGGTAATCGCGAAAGATTATGGAGTCGCCGCGAGGAGAAAGGATGAAAAACTGCGAGATCATGATAGGTGCGTCACAAGCTGCCGGCTGTTCTTTGAACAACCGCCCTAAACTAGAAGCTGGAAATTTTCAGAACAGTCTTGTCGGAGGCTAATCCGAAAAAAACACGAGAGCTACTAACGCTAATGGAGCAACTAGCCACCTGATTGACCAGCAAGCAAGCGTACCAGTGAACCTGGAACAGCAGCTGCCTTCACAGACCAGATCTAGTGGGTAGAGTGGAGACTGAGCCGCCCTAAGAAGCAGAAGAAAGAAGAACCAGAACCAGAAAGGCAGCCATACATTGACCCTTTGTGGAATGAACCGATATCATCATAACGGAGTTTGGCACCCCAAATGGCTAGTGATACGCTTATTGTGAAGTGGCAAAAACTACGGCTACAATTCTATACAGGCACGTACGAAGATTATTTTTGAACATAAATAAAAGTTTCATAACTGTAATATACATGAAGATTTAATGCTAAAACTCTCTAATACTGATGGCTAAAGCTGAGTATTGTTTGTCCTTGTATCATACTTTGAAATGAGAGTAATTCATAAACACTCTAACGAGGAGCCCAATCGTGCGCATTCATACACCTTCGTGTATCAGGTAGAAATTTGGAATTTGGAAGGAAACGCAGCAGCTTTTTGTGTTTGTCGTTCTTCAGGTGACGATCTTTCATTGCTACTATGTTGCATGCAAGCTCCGTCCCAGCATCTATTCATGCCGTTGAGCTTTCCTGGGGTCGGATTTCTCGAGAGTACTTTCGCTCTCGGCCATCGTTATGGCTTCTCTAGGGGTCTCTTCCTTGTGCAGAGGAGTTAGGATTCTGCTGGTTCCGAGGCCGCGGAACGGTCTCGTGCTGTCGAGCAGCAAATCAAATGGTCGAAGGGGTATTTTTGCAAGTGCGAGCGATTCGACAGGAAATGCGTTAGGATTTTCGACAGGACATTTGTCAGGAGGTGCGTCACCATCGAAAGATAAGGCAAAGGGTAGCATGGTTGATGAGCCCTCACTGGTCCTGCCAAGCTTTGTGGAGGTTAGCTGCTGTAGCGAAGAAGCTCCTAACGAAGCGTTGACGGAGCAAGACGAGAAAGATGAACGGGAGATACGGGCGCCAACTTCGAGGCAGCACCATGATGGTACGAGTTCAATATTCGGATTTCCTGTCACCTCGTTGGACTCTCGTGTCGTTTTCTTTGCAGCTTCCCGCATCTCTCACACACACGTACAGTTGAATTTGTCATCCGCTCCCTCAAGCAAAGCATCTTCGCCTGATTTATTCCAATCCCGCCCTTTCGCACGCATCATGTCATCTCGTCTCATCTTCTCGCACCCTGTTCAATATTCAGGTGTCTCTTTTTTTTTATTCTTATTTTTTTTTCACGCGTTTTCATAACCTTTCCTTAATCCGTCCATCACATTCTCTACACTGATTCCGGTTCTCCAGGTTTCACCATCCGTGTGGTCTCGTACAACGTCCTCGCCCAGGCATGTGTGTATCAACAGCTACCCGCTCTTGCCTGCCGAATTGCACCTGTGCCTTTCTCTCCTGCGTTCCAATTTTCTGCATCTCTAATACGTTGCTGAAATTTCTTTCATTTCATTCAGCTTCTTGCCTTTCTGTTCATTCCGGGCATTCTGTACCTTATCCCACTTCTGTACCCACTCTCTCTTTACCCACTATCTTTGTACCCACCCTCTCTGTAACCATCCTTGCCCTCACTCTTGCAGCTGTTTCCCGCAAGAAATTTCTTGCCTCCCCTCCACTCTCCCTCAGGTACACTCCTCCTGATATGGCTGGTAATTCTCTGTCGTTTCCATGTTTCTCTCCAATAGTCCAACTTTTACTGGCAGGACGAGCAGCTGCCGTTTCATATCTTGCTGTCCACTCTTCCTCGCTCCTTCGCTATCACTCATCTTCCCCTGCCAATCACCTTACCCAGCCCGGCCACTCACCTGCCCCCCCCTCACCTGTTTCCGCGTCCACTCTAATCCCTGCTGTCGGAAAGAGTTACCGCATCCATGCCCGCCTGTCCCTCCTCAACTCCTTCTCTGCTGATTTTATCTGCGTTCAGGTGAGCCTGCTGATTTCATTCGCGTTCAGGGGAGTCTGTCCCTCAAACCCAACTGCCGATTGCATCTTTGTCCAATTGAACTAGGCGTGACAATGCTACTGTAGCCTAATGTTTTTTGCTGCCTCCTTTCCTTTATAAGCTGATGGTACAGTCCATTGTCTCCTTACTCTCCCACCTCAATCCCAATCCCTCTCGTCTACTCCTTCCCTGGACCTTTTTTTACGTTGTCCGCCTGATTCATTGTGAGGAGATGGCATATAAGAACATTCTTCGCACTTAAGATTCATGAAGTCCTGTTGAAAACTCGTTTTCAACCCCACTCTCCCTCCCCCACTCCCGTTCCTTCCCTCCCCTCCCTCCCCCACTCCCGTTCCTTCCCTCCCCTCCCTCCCCCTCCTCTGTGGCCACTGTTTCTTCTTCCTCCGAACCAATGCATATGCATTGCCAGGAGATGGAGCACAAGCATTTACTTCACACGCCGATGGCACTAGAGGGATGGCATGTGGTGTATGCCAAGCGGCCAGGCCCACATGCTGATGGTAGCGGCATCTTCTACCGCTCTGAAAGGTGCATGCATGCATGCATGTGCCCGTGCTGAAGCGCCAGATATTGCCTCCCTTGATCCCACCCAGTTGTCACCTCGCCAACCACTTATCAGTTTCAACCACAGGCCCGTCCCTCCGTAATTTTCCGTTTGCATTCGTCCCCCCTCCATGGCGTTTCAGGTTCCGAGTTTTGCGTTCGCGTGTAATCAACTTCAACGACCTTGTTCCACAAGATGAAAGATCGGACGGTACGGATGGAGAGGATGGGGAACAACATGAGCAGCAGGCCAAGCATCAGCTTGAGATCTCCCGCATGGAGCATCATCATTGTTCGGGCCATCACATTCATGTGCTGGATGATCATCATATCTGGAACGAGAAGAGCCATTCTGACCATCGAGAAGACGCCAGCAACGAACACCATCATCCGGACCAGCAGCAGCAAGGGCAGGAGCATCATCAGCATCACCAGCACCAGCAGCAGCATCACCAGCAGCATCAGCAGCATCACCATCCTCCTGACCTGTCGGATCCTCAGGTCCGATTCAAGCGCGACTGCGTTGCAGTGGTGGCCGCCTTTCAAGAGGTCAATCCGCCTGACTCCTCCGACTCCTCTGGAACGACTGGGGGTTCTTCTGCACAGGGCGCACCTGCTGGAAGTCGCATTGTCATTGTGGTCTCCTCACACATTTACTGGTACAATGCAGTGCCTGTCCCCCTCCTGTTCCCCATGCAATGTTTGACTTTATGGCATTCAGACGGGTCGTCACGTCGAGCACCCATCCTCCTATTCAGTATCCCCTTGTGTATGCGTCAAGCCACTCTACCTTTTATACTGGGCTGTCCTAGTGTACTCATACCATCCCATTGTGTTCTTTATGAACCCTGCAGGAACCCCAACTGTCCTGATGTGAAACTAGCACAAGCCCAGTACCTGCTGCATGAAGTGGCCCAATTCAGATCAGATATTGAAACGCTTTATGAACACCATCACCATGGGACATCGCGGCCAAGTGCTGACTTTCAGTTAAGAGGAGGCGGTTTTCACGCGGATGGTTCGAGCAGTGAGGGGAAGGAGCAGAATCATATTCCGGTGGTCATATGTGGTGACTTCAACTCCAAGCCTGGAGACTCGGTAAGACTGTTTGCTCAGGGCGGTCACATACGGTTCTCTAACCTCATAACCCACCTTTGCTCTTCTAGGGATTGAAAATTTTATTTCTTCATCCAAGTAACCCTCCCATTAGGCGCTCAAAATCATCCCAAATATCCAACGATTCCATTCCGCACTACAGGTGTATAGGTATCTTGCTTCTGGCAGCACATGTGACGAGATCTACGAAGGAGACTGCAGGGCGGGAGACGAGGGCTATGCGGGTGGTTGCTCAGCAGCCAATGTCGCACCCATTCCACTTGCAAGTCTCAATGCGTTGGCGGCAAAGGAGAGATCCATGTGCCATGCTGCTGCTCATACTTCACCGACTGATTGGGACGACTTGCCGCAGAACCTCGAGCCCTCGTTTACGAGCTTCACTGCGGAGTTCAAGGCAGGGCTGTTTTTATCAGGGTAATTACCCTGATTTCAGGGTGATTTCAGACTTTTCACTTGGTGGAGACTGAAATCTCAGAATTATTGACGTCTCAACTCTGATCCAATCAGAGTAATAGTTAACCTGTCCCTGATTTCGAGTACAGTGTAACAGACTAACATGTTAGTGGACCCTGTCTTAGAAGAGTATCGACTCTGTGGAACCTGATTTTGACCTTATCGAAAAGAAGTTTCTCCGAAATTTCCTCTCGATAACCCCGCCTTCGGAGTGTTCGCAGTACAGCCAGCGCGCGTGAGCGACCCCGGAAAAGACATTATTGAAAAGAAGTTTCGAAGAAATATCTTCCCGACACATTCACCATCGAGATTGTACAGTGAGTTTCTAGGAAACGCCTTGGGCGTAGCCCCCGTTTTATCGAGACGAAGTTTCGGAGAACTTTCTTCCGCGTACACCCAACATCGAGGTTCAGTTCCGATAATGCACAGCGCGTTACTACACTGATCCTGATCTCTCGACCCTGAACAATCAGACTATATAAATTCTCAACACAGAGCAATCAGGGTGATGTTTTTCTGAAAAATGTGAACCCATAATACAGGGGGAAATTTTTCCCCGAAATCAGGGAGGCCTATTTTGAAACGTCAGCCCTGGTTCAAGGCAACCGTCGACTACATTTTTGTCTCTAGAGATTCTGGAGGTTTTTTTGTGCACTCCACTCTATGGATTCCCAATGATTCTGATTCCCATTTGGAAGGGGGGTTTGCCAAACCTTTTCTTCCCTAGTGACCATTTACCTATTGGAGGAGATGTTGTATTTGATACTTGAATCTGCCCCACCTTACTGGTACTAAGGTGTACATGAGCGAAACAGCAGTCGCTGAAACCTCTTGTAGACGAGGATGTGCGAAAGACATCAACAACGGCGGGGTCGTCGTCCTCCATGAATATTTCCGAGACTGCCCGTCCGTGGGGCAGAGAGAGTGCTTGATAACCCAGAGTCCCCCACATAGAAAAGTTCGACCTCCGTGACCCCCTTTTAAAGCCCAAGACCTGAATTACTCAACGGAAGTCAACGCTAAAAACTAGGTTCGGGAGGCAGGCACGGAGAGGTTCGTTTGGGTTGCGAGAGACTTTCACTCGCGAAACCAATTTGCGACAAAAGTTTCTCGCTTCCCATGATGGGTGGGGTTCTTCCCACAACCAGAAATACGCGAGCATACCAAACTGTGCACAGTTTGAGATAGCACGCAGAGTATTAGGTATAGACCATACCTGTAGACAGGGCAGGGCGTCGGCGTTCATTAAAAAGGGATCAGATGCGCCATACGATGTGGGTGGCGTGGATTTCGATGATGATGCGCAAAGCTAGTGTCCGCTGGATGAAGATTATTGTGTCGAAATGCAGGTTATTGTGCAACTAGCGTAATCTCGCGGCGAAAATCGAATCGCAACCGTTCGCCCAAACGTGACCCTCCCCTCGCCCTCGCTTTCCTTTCCTACGCTTCCGCTCTCTTTCGCCCGCGTCGTCGCCCTCGCTTCGCCCGTCGCCTTCGCTCCGCCCGTGAACTCACTTCCCCCCCGTCGCCTTCACTCCCCCCCCTCCCCCGCCTCTTCCGTTGCCTTCATTTCCCCCTCCCGTCGCCTTCACTTCCCCCTCTCGTCGCCTTCACTTCCCCCTCCCGTCGCCCTCACTTCCCCTCCCGTCGCCTTCATTTCCCCCTCCCGTCGCCTTCACTTCCCCCTCCCGTCGCCTTCACTTCCCCCTCCCGTCGCCCTCACTTCCCCTCCCGTCGCCTTCATTTCCCCCTCCCGTCGCCTTCACTTTCCCCTCCCGTCGCCTTCATTTCCCCCTCCCGTCGCCCTCACTTCCCCTCCCGTCGCCTTCATTTCCCCCTCCCGTCGCCTTCACTTCTCCCCCCCGATGCCTTCGATTCCCCCTCCCGTCGCCTTCCACGCCTGCCGCACTTGCTTTCCCGCCCGTCACACTCGCTTCCCCACCCGTCACCTTCACTTCCCCTCCCATTGCCTTTCACTCTCTCCTGTTCACTCTCTTTCCCCCTGCTCACTCTCTTCCCCCCTGATCACTCGCTTCCCCCCTCCTCAATCTCTTTCCCCTGCTCATTCTCTTTCCCTCTGCTCACTCCCCTTGTTCTAACCCCACTCTCCCCATTTCTCACCCATTTTCCCCCTTCACGCTCTCTTACCCCCTCTGCTCGCCCCTGTTTTCCCGGCTCACTCCTATACGCACTCTCTCCCCCCCTGCTCACTCTCTTCCCCCCCTGATCACTCTCTTTCCCCCTTCTCACTCTCTTTCCCCCTTCACGCTCTCTTTCCCTCCCTTCCGCCCGTTGCCCCCCTTCGTCTCATCGCCCTCCCTGCTGCTCGTCGCCTTCGCTCCCGCTCGTCCCCTCGCAATCCCCGTCTCTCTCTCCCCCCGTCGCCCTCCCTTCCACTCCTCGTTGCCCTCGCCATCCCTCCCTTCTCCCTTCCCATCTCGCACACTTGTCACGCCCCCTTTCCAACCCGCACATACACCCTTCCCTTCTTCCCTGTTTCCCCGTATCCCCTGCGCTGCTTTCCCCCATCCTCCGACTTGCTCCCCCCATCCCCTTCCCTGCTTCCCCCCGTCCCCTCCCCTGCCTCCCCCCATCCCCTTCCCTGCTTCCCCCCATCTCCTTCCCTGCTTCCCCCCATCCCCTTCCCTTCTTCCGCCCGTGCCCTCCCCTGCCTCCCCCCATCCCCTTCCCTGCTTCCCCCCAACCCCTTCCCTGCTTCCCCCCTTCCCCTTCCCTGCTCCCCCCCCGTCCCCTTCCCTCCTTCCCCCCGTCCCCTCCCTGCCTCCCCCCATCCCCTTCCCTGCTTCCCCCACCCCCTTCCCTGCTCCCCCCCATCCCCTTCCCTGCTTTCCCCCTTCCCCTTCCCTGCTTCCCCCCGTCCCCTTCCCTCCTTCCCCCGTCCCCCTCCCAGCATCCCCCCATCCCCTTCCCTGCTCCCCCCCATCCCCTTCCCTGCTTCCCTCCATCCCCTTTCCTGCTTCCCCCCATCTCCTTCCCTGCTTCCCCCCACCCATCCCCTTCCCTGCTTTCCCCCATCTCCTTCCCTGCTTCCCCCCATCGCCTTCCCTGCTCACCCTTGCTCCCTCTGTTTCACCCTTGCTCCCTCTGTTTCACCCTTGCTCCCTCCCCTTCTTCTTTTCTCACTCTCTTCCCCCTTGCTCACTCTCTTTACTTCTGCTCACTCTGTTCCCCCCTGCTTCCTCTCTTCCCCTCTGTTCAATCTGTCCCCCGCTGCTTCTTCTCTTCCCCTCTGCTCATTCCGTTTACTGTCTTCCCCCCTTCACTCACCCCCATACCCCCCAATGCAGTTACAGGTGCCCAGGACCAGATGTGGCTTTACCATGGCCTGGTTTATTGCTTGCAGTATAGCAGACAAAACCGGGAGGCAACATTACACACACCCCCAAGCTTTGTTCCCTTCTCGAGTCTTGTGATTCCCCTTACTTTACAGATACTGTAATATATTAATTGTTGAACTCCTTGGTATTGGTCATGTGTATGACTGCTCTGAGGCTCATAATCCTGTATTATAAAAAATTATCCAATACATGGCATGGCTATACATCGTGTTACTATCAGACAGCCAGCACATCACAAACCCAGAAGTCAGATGTGACGTGGCTGAAGTATAAGGGAAGCAGGCATGCAAAAGAATGACAACTGGCAAATAAGGAAAGGAGGAACGGAGGAAGGAAGTGAGGAATGCAGGAATAAAGGAAGGAAGTGATGATGGGAGGAAGGGAGGTAGGGAGGATGCTTGGGGGAGAAGCAGAAGGGAGGGGAGGAAGAGAGGCTGGGGAGGAGGGTGGGAAGGAGGGTGAAACTTGGCAGAGGAATGATGGGATCGGGAAAGGAGGGATGAGGAAACGAGGAAAAGAGGAAACGAGGAATGGGGTGGGGCAGAAAGGGGTGGGGCGGAATGGGGTGGGGCGGAAAGGGGTGGGGCGGAATGGGGTGGGGCAGAAAGGGGTGGGGCAGAATGGGGTGGGGTGGAATGGGGTGGGGCGGAATGGGGTGAGGCGGATTGGGGAGATGAGGGATGGAGAGATGAGGGATGAGGAGATGAGGGATGGGGAGGTGTGGGATGGGGAGGAGAGGGCTGGGGAGGAGAGGGATGGGGAGGTCAGGGATGGGGAGATGAGGGATGGGGAGATGAGGGAAGGGGAGATGAGGAATGGGGAGATGAGGGATGGGGAGATGAGGAATGGGGAGATGAGGGAAGGGGAGATGAGGAATGGGGAGATGAGGGAAGGGGAAATGAACGTGTATGCGACGGAAGGGTGCTGCTGGCCACTGGCGGTGGGCGACAGTGGCGGTGGGGGGAAGCGTGGGCGACGGTGGCGGTGGGGGGAAGCGAGGGCGACGGTGGCGGTGGGGGGAAGCGTGGGCGACGGTGGCGGTGGGGGGAAGCGTGGGCGACGGTGGCGGTGGGGGGAAGCGTGGGCGACGGTGGCGGTGGGGGGAAGCGTGGGCGACGGTGGCGGTGGGGGGAAGCGTGGGCGACGGTGGGGGGAAGCATAGGCGACGGTGGGAGGAGGCGTGGGTGACGGTGGGGGGAAGCGTGGACGACAGAGTAACTCAGCCATATGACGAGGGAGGAAGGAAACACCTGAGGCGCCAAAGAGGCAGGGGCACACTGCAGTACAAGAGAAGCGCTGGATGCAGGCAGACGAACGAGGGGGAGAAAGAGCCGACATCTGATGGTGCAGGCTGGGAATAACCCTGCAAATCACATGCGGGTAGCCCACCCATTCCCACGTCACGTGCCACGTCAACCCTGAAAATCGAATCGCAACCGTTCGCCCAAACGTGATAGGCAGGGGACTGATGACGACGTGGAGAGAGGTGGGAGAGAAGGGAGGTCGGCGGGGAGGCTCATTTCCAGGCGACAGGGAGGACGATGAGAGGGGAAGCGGGGGCGACGGTGGGGGGAAGCGTGGGCGACGGTGGGGGGAAGCGTGGGCGACGGTGGGGGGAAGCGTGGGCGATGTGGGGGGAAGCGTGGGCGACGGTGGGGGAAAGTGTGGGCGACGGTGGGGGGAAGCGTGAGCGACGGTGGGGGGAAGCGTGAGCGACGGTGGGGGGAAGCGTGAGCGACAGTGGGGGGAAGCGTGAGCGACGGTGGGGGGAAGCGTGAGTGACGGTGGGAGGAACCGTAGGCGATGAGCGGGGAAGCGTGAGGGAAGGTGGGGGAAGGCGTGAGCGACGATGTGGGGAAGCGTTGGTGAAGGCAGGAGGAAGCGTGAGCGGCGGTAAGGGGAAGCGTGAGCGACGGTGGGGAAGAGCTCGGGCGACGGTGGGGAAGAGCTCGGGCGACGGTGAGAGGAAGCGTGGGTGTGCGTGGGGGAGTGTGTGAGAGACGGTGGGGGGAAGCGTGTGGAACGCGGAAGGCGATAGGGCCTAAATGCGATGTCCGCGGGGTTGCGATGCCAGGGCGAGCGAGATCGAAAACGTGATACGCCACTAACATAGTTGCTGTCATGCCGATAAGCCACGACCACCAATCCGTTCGGGGTTTCTATTTTGGCCGTAGGATAGATACGCCTGGATTTCTAAGGGTCCCGTGATATTCGTGAAAGTGATCGTGGCCTATGCTATGTTCGATTTTTTTCCCGGACTCTTGGAACAATCTACGAGTAGTAGGAAAAGCACGACCTGAATTACCAATGTTGGCAAACTGTGCACACTTTGAGCGGTTGTTCCTTGAGAAAGGTGTTGGGACTCTCGCCAACCAAACCTGTTCTGCTGCACGACTCAGTGTTTTTTGTGTGCGATCTTTTCTGGTAACCAGCCTGGCTCGGGAGGTCAACTGTGGTTCGGTAGGCAAACTGTGCACAGTTTGCCTTCTTTTTTTTGTAATTCAGGTCTTGGGCTTTAAGCAAATGCAGTGGCGTGGCGAATCTGCTCAACGATACGGGCAGGTTTGTTGGAGCATGGAAGGTTCGAACGGAATGTTGGTCCTGACGGCTGTGTTACCATGCTGTATCGAACCAAACCACTCGTGACAGTCGGACTGAAACCGACAGATACCCACCCGCCCACATCAAAGAGACTCAAGACCCCCTTGAGAATGGATGGTTAAAACCCGTGGGCCAAGAAGGCCAAATTCGGTTCATTCTTCCTAGTGTTGGTTGGATGTCCCAAATGTGCCTGTGATTTTCCCGAGTTTCAACACCTCTCCCAACAATTTCGACACTCCTATTGGCCCGCGGGCGATTTCCGTCCTCACTCCCAACCAACCTTCCTAAGCTTGAATATCTTGGCCTGCGGGTTTTAAGGTTAAGGTTATATTAAGGTCGTAACCATGCCCTTGAGAATGGATGGAAGCTTGGGAGACTGGGAGGGAATATCTAGGTCAAACTGAAAGAAAGCTACTCATTTGCTTTCAGTCAGTTTCGCACTTCCACACCTTATCTTGTAGAACGTGCGTCGGACCACGGCTGGTGTCCTTATCTTGATGTTCGGTTCGTTGTAGCTGCTGGCTCAGTATAGTCTGCTAATCTGTCCGTCGCATATATGGATGCCTGGGTCTGGTTAAGACTGGCTTCGCACGTGCATTTCCCTGGTTTAGGGTAAAGGTCACCTCTGCTCCTTAGTAGATTGACCCGGTTAACTTATCTTGCGTCGTTACCAGAGCCTAGAAAGTATGCGAAAAGTACTCGTAGCACCCCGTTTCCAGCTGACAAAAGAACTACTAACGGCGTGATTACCATGTTATTTTGAAAAGGTTGTTAATTGCCGTTTCCTTCATTTAAACGACCGTAGACGTTTCCTGGCCGTGTTTCTCTGGGTGTAGGAACACCTGGATAAGTTTAATAGAAAGTACCGAAATAATCGACGGCACATTAGGAGCTATGGACGATGAGCCGATCATTCCGATGTCAGACCCGGTGGCGCTTCTGTCGCACATCGAGGTCCCTAATCAGGTAAATACGTCACTCTCTGGCTTTCAACATTTCGTCCATTTAATGTTGCTTTAAGTTGTCTGTTTCCGGTACCAACACAGGGAAGTTCTTTGCTCACGGAAACGATCTTCTTCCTCGACTGCTATCGCGTTTTCCGCTTTTGGTTCAGGTTCGGTCCGTTATTATGGGGGGTCCTGGAAACAGCAACAACTCGTACTACGCGTATTTGGAGGCCATAGATCGGCTGCACGGTGCAGTGCGGTTTATAGAGGAGGAGCTAAGAAACGGCCGGTACCTCATTGCCAAGGCTATGGAGAATGTGAAGCAAGACTTCAGCAAGCTGCTAACCAACAGCAGGTAGCTTCACCACCTGATTATAATTGCATTTTGCAGGACACAGTCGTTTTTTAGCAGGAAACGTACATCAATAGCACGAGGAGGTGACAATTCCGTTAAGAAATGGCGTTAATTTGCGACGTCAGGACGCAAAAAAATCCACTGTTTTCCGGGTGAAAACTCTTAGTCAGTTCAAGCGAATCAGGATATCCTGTTGATGGACCAATAAAGCTGGTTTCGTCCGTTCTCGTAACCTTGCACGCCAATCATGTCTCTGGTCTTCCATTTCTCTTATGCGGGTTACACCCCAACTCTAATAACCCGCGTTCTCCCGTGTGACTTTCCAGTTTGTTTCCCAACCTAGACGAGTTGAGGGAGGCGATGCTATCTGAGGAATCACCTGACCATATATCACCGCCGGAGATGGTGGAGGCTGCAGCCATTCCGAAACTACATGCCATGGCCCAGCGGTTGATCGATAACGACTGCGCGCCAGACTGTTGCAAAATGTACCGGTGAGTTGAACGTGGGCCGACCAAATGGTTCGTTTGCTTCTCCGCGCATGTCTGCACGGGTTTTGAGAGGTTTATAACCTCTTTTTCCCGGTAAAACAGTATGCCGCCTGTGGAGGGAATTGGTGAGTAAATAACTATTTTCAGGCTTTTGCCCTCACTATCACACAGACTCCATCCAACTTACCTGCACATGACTACTTTCGAGACACCTTACCAAATCGTTATTGTACAGTCTCCGGCCGACTTACCTGCACGTCACTACTTAGTAGGAACAGTGTCTCCGGCCGCTTACCTGCCAGTAACTGCTCTGTTCACTGAGGTGCAGCTTACAGAAGCTGTGCATGCAGCAGGCATCAACCAGCAGCACCTTTTTTCTTGCCTACATTTGCGTTTTGACTGACCCGCTCCCCGTCGTCCGCTTTCGCCCGCCTTCTTCCGCCAGCTCGATGCGGGAGGAGGCGTTGAAGCGCAGCTTTCACCGGATGGGCGTGCAGCAAGTGACCTAGAAAATACTCATTTTCCTCCCCTTCCACCCAACTCCTCCCCTCCTCCCCCCCCCTCCCCCCTCCCCCCCCCCCCCTCCCCCCAACCTCTCCCCCCCTCCAACCCGCCCTTCCCCCCCCTCCCCTCCCCCACCCACCCCATTTTCTGCGTTCCCGTGTCCCCCTCCGCGCTCCTTCCGCCAACGGAGCAGCGAGATGCGGGAGGCGGCGCTGAAGCGCAACTTCCAGCGTCTGGGCGTGCAGCAGGTGACCAAGGCGGAGATCCAGAGCACCCCCTGGCCGCGGCTGGAGGAGAAGATGCGGCGCTGGAGCGAACACATGCACATCGGGGTATGTGGGAGGGTGGACACATGCACATCGGGGTATGTGGGAGGGTGGACACATGCACATCGGGGTATGTGGGAGGGTGGACACATGCACATCGGGGTATGTGGGAGGGTGGACACATGCACATCGGGGTATGTGGGAGGGTGGACACATGCACATCGGGGTATGTGGGAGGGTGGACACATGCACATCGGGGTATGTGGGAGGGTGGACACATGCACATCGGGGTATGTGGGAGGGTGGACACATGCACATCGGGGTATGTGGGAGGGTGGACACATGCACATCGGGGTATGTGGGAGGGTGGACACATGCACATCGGGGTATGTGGGAGGGTGGACACATGCACATCGGGGTATGTGGGAGGGTGGACACATGCACATCGGGGTATGTGGGAGGGTGGACACATGCACATCGGGGTATGTGGGAGGGTGGACACATGCACATCGGGGTATGTGGGAGGGTGGACACATGCACATCGGGGTATGTGGGAGGGTGGACACATGCACATCGGGGTATGTGGGAGGGTGGACACATGCACATCGGGGTATGTGGGAGGGTGGACACATGCACATCGGGGTATGTGGGAGGGTGGACACATGCACATCGGGGTATGTGGGAGGGTGGACACATGCACATCGGGGTATGTGGGAGGGTGGACACATGCACATCGGGGTATGTGGGAGGGTGGACACATGCACATCGGGGTATGTGGGAGGGTGGACACATGCACATCGGGGTATGTGGGAGGGTGGACACATGCACATCGGGGTATGTGGGAGGGTGGACACATGCACATCGGGGTATGTGGGAGGGTGGACACATGCACATCGGGGTATGTGGGAGGGTGGACACATGCACATCGGGGTATGTGGGAGGGTGGACACATGCACATCGGGGTATGTGGGAGGGTGGACACATGCACATCGGGGTATGTGGGAGGGTGGACACATGCACATCGGGGTATGTGGGAGGGTGGACACATGCACATCGGGGTATGTGGGAGGGTGGACACATGCACATCGGGGTATGTGGGAGGGTGGACACATGCACATCGGGGTATGTGGGAGGGTGGACACATGCACATCGGGGTATGTGGGAGGGTGGACACATGCACATCGGGGTATGTGGGAGGGTGGACACATGCACATCGGGGTATGTGGGAGGGTGGACACATGCACATCGGGGTATGTGGGAGGGTGGACACATGCACATCGGGGTATGTGGGAGGGTGGACACATGCACATCGGGGTATGTGGGAGGGTGGACACATGCACATCGGGGTATGTGGGAGGGTGGACACATGCACATCGGGGTATGTGGGAGGGTGGACACATGCACATCGGGGTATGTGGGAGGGTGGACACATGCACATCGGGGTATGTGGGAGGGTGGACACATGCACATCGGGGTATGTGGGAGGGTGGACACATGCACATCGGGGTATGTGGGAGGGTGGACACATGCACATCGGGGTATGTGGGAGGGTGGACACATGCACATCGGGGTATGTGGGAGGGTGGACACATGCACATCGGGGTATGTGGGAGGGTGGACACATGCACATCGGGGTATGTGGGAGGGTGGACACATGCACATCGGGGTATGTGGGAGGGTGGACACATGCACATCGGGGTATGTGGGAGGGTGGACACATGCACATCGGGGTATGTGGGAGGGTGGACACATGCACATCGGGGTATGTGGGAGGGTGGACACATGCACATCGGGGTATGTGGGAGGGTGGACACATGCACATCGGGGTATGTGGGAGGGTGGACACATGCACATCGGGGTATGTGGGAGGGTGGACACATGCACATCGGGGTATGTGGGAGGGTGGACACATGCACATCGGGGTATGTGGGAGGGTGGACACATGCACATCGGGGTATG